CATTGAAAGGGCTGTGGCACCGATAAAGCGCAGTCGGTATGTCTTTCCAGGGTCGACATCGATTACCGGCAACGCACAATCCCCGTTCCCAGCTGTCTCTCCAATGGCCACGCCGACACCGTTGATGAGAACGGCACTGGTTTCGCCTGACCACACGAAAGGTGATGCCAGCAAGCCCGCCTCGATATCGTGATCGGTTTTGTTGAAATAGTCCGTGAGATATACGATGCGTTCTTCGTCGTACGCATAAGGGGGCTCTTCTTTGTCCTCGATGATCAATGGTCCAGAGGCCGTCGCCGCTTGGAATCCTACGTGCGAGTGGTAGAAATAGGTTCCGCACTCCGACTCCAGTGGAAAGATCTCGTAATCGAAGAAGTGATCGGGAGGGAGGGGCCACTGAGCTGCGGCCGGACTGCCGTCCGAGAAAGGTGACATACGCATACTCAATCCATGCCAGTGCATGGTGGTGTTGTATTCCTCCATATCGTTGTAGACTCTGATCCAACTCCTCACCCCGGGTCTCAACCTCAGCGTTGGTCCGACCAAGCTACCATTAACGAGCACCGACGGGCGCGTCTGGCAGCCGATTGAGACATTTTCGTAGGTCACTCGCAATACATGGTCTGGTACGAAGCTAGAATCATGCGTATGTAGGCCACCGTAGTGACCCGGTGGGCCATGGGACGACTCTCTCGGTCCCCACGCATAGGCCTGTGTTAGTAGCGCCAGAAGCCAGGCGAACAAAACGAACGAATGCATGATGCTTTGAGACGAACTGGAAGAAACAAGATGGGGTGGGGGAAACATTATTCAAACGTTAAAGGACGGAGGTTGTTTCTTTACATAGTCGGTCCAGATGCCGACAAACTGTCGCACGGCGCTCTTGTCTCAGACATGGCATCCGCCTATATGGCCGTTGAGTCAGTCCAAGGCGGGTTTCATTCCGGCGTTGTCAAGACCATCGTTTGCCCCTCTCCTTAATTTCCATCAGCAAAGTTAACTGCTTCTCTTCCTCGCTGAAATGTTGATCTTTGCCGGCGGCACCGGTGCTGCCGCTATGTGTCGGCATTACATACGACGCGGTTCTGTGCTGGTTTAGGCTACGGCAAACCAAGCTTCCAACCCCCAATCGGGTTTCCTGAATCAGGCACAAAGACAAGGAAGGCATTGTTGGTGCCGGTCGATGATAGCGTAAATATACTTTCAACAATCCCTGTACTTATCATTCGATTGCTAGTCTAGCTAATCCTGTTTTGCATGCATGATCGGCCTCCCCCGCAAAGCCTTTCCAAGTCCACCAACTGTAAGATCGCTGCGGAGACAAAGATTTCTAGACACTAGTTCCATTGGCCACATCGTGTCCGGCATTCCCGAATGTATATTTGGAACTTGTGGGCGTTCTATAAGTGATTGTCGTATCATAGTCTAATGATTTCACGGTGTAGCCGTCACCAGCATTATGACACCCAGCTTGACCCGTCGAGTTGGACTGCACTCTCTTGGCCGAACTTCGCTTGAAGTCTTGAGAAAGAGGTGCAGTCGAAGCCTGTTTGGCAGCAGACGGTTTTTTTTTTTTTTTTTTTTTTTTTTTCATTTTCATCCCTTTTGGCTTTTGGCTTTCGGCTTTCGGCGGAGGGAGGTTAATGTATTGGTGCTCGACGTCTCTGGATAGCGTCACACTACTGTCCCGGATCGCATTTCCACGACTGGCTCTTAAACATCATGACTCATGGAAGGTGGGGTTTCAATTTGAAGGCCGGGGGGTCGTTATCAACGGCAAGGTGCCAGTGCGACAACTGTAAGTCGTCTGAAATCAATCGGATGGAAACGTCCACGCGGCATTCGGTCTACCACCTTAATTTTGAATTCCGTGCACCCCACAACCGCCCATTGTTCTGGGATGTCTTTTTTTTTTTCTTTGCCAGTCGTAAGTCTTCTCGATACAGGCCAAAATAGCAGCTGTGACAATTGTGCATCCACTACTGCTATTCCCGTGCAAATTTCAATTATATCCATTCTCCGCGTTGTAGAGATGCGGGTGCCCAATTAGAGCCAAGAGAATAATCTAGACTCCAAGAAAGTAGGTAAAGGAGTAAGAGACTCATTATGAGAGAAGATATTGGAAGTGTGTGGGGTAGAAGGGACCTATGCGGTGCAGTGATTTAGAAAGAAACACCATCACCCCCAAAGGCAACACAAGATGCTTCCTCAATGGGAACAGGTTTGCCTCAATCAAAGGAGCTAAGTGTCCTCGATCGGAGTAAAGTCTGTCCCGGTCAGAGGAGTAGACTCTCCCGATCGTCTTGGATTATCACGTCCGATTGGAAATCATAGGAAAGGCTCCTAGCTCAATCAAGCCAAAAACGGTAGGTCTCTTGAAAAAGGAGGAAAAGTTGGTTATTCTTCTTGACTACTTGCTTCCCAACGGTCCATATCTTATACTCGTCCTTCCAATCGGAACTATCTTACTCCTTCGCCGTCTTCCTCCAATCGGGAGTTCCAGCAATATTGTAGAGCTGTTTGCCCCGCCCTGTTCCAATATCCTCACAGCAATGGTATGTGGAAGGGCGGTCGATCCTCCTCTAAGTACTAATAGTCCTTTAGATTCCGCGAGAATAGGAGAAGTTTGAGCTTTTCTCCCGAATGATGTTGCCAGAGCGAAGTCAACACATAAACCCATGCTTTCATCCAACACCAATGCGATGAGTGTAGCAAATTGAGTACACATCTAGCGGCGCGTAACAGCTCACATTCGGCAGCAATCCATGACGGAAACCCTGACAAAGTCAGCCTGACAGTGGTCCGACTGCCCCACGCTCCTAAACTAAGTTTGGTCCTTTCAGCGACTTGCAGTAAATATATGTAGCTGTTATATTAAAAGTTCGTAGTATAAATTGGCTAACACGTTGTCAAATCCGGGGATAAGCGTCATTACTTTTCTTGGCCGGCGGAAACATTAGCGGAAAGCGTATTTGCCCCATGTATACGGCAAGGCCGACCTCATGCTTTCGCAAGACAACAGGGGTTTCTGTTCAGAAACCTTCATTGCTTTTCTCATTGTGTTGGGTATCATGCATGATTCTAATATTGTGTTAGATTATTGTTGTGTACGTAGTACTTGTGCGGCCTTAAGAGGGACCGACTTGCAAACCTCTCTCAGTAAGACAATTGGGTGAACGATCAGCGTAAATGGGAAAAAATACGTCTAGAGTCAACTCAAGCAGGATTAGAGGTCTCGAGCTCCTGGTACAGTGGTACTTGACATTTCAAACTCGCTCTAAGCCATGCAATTGTCCATCTGATCTGGGAACCGGCGTGGAGTAGTCAAATTGCTGGGAGCCCTACTTTGACACGTCATGTCAGGTAGTTGTGCGAGTCTGACTATGTAACCCAAGACTATCTTCGCAAATCAACAGGATGTTTGAACACGGATGCTAACCAAACTATCCATATGCCGCAGAGAGAACAACGCAAGTCTTGTACTCATGGACTAATAAGCAAAGCATTTCGCCTTATGTATGCATCGTCGGTTTCAGGAAACCCCAAATGATTTTGTCTTGTGTGATGAACCACAGTGCCTAGTCATTTGTGAGTAAAGTAGTTTTCCTATTAAGAATCTGCGTAGGAACCGGAGAATCGGTAGGAATACCAATTCAAGGCGGTCCGTGCGGGTGATACGCCACATCTGTAACGGCCGCCACTGATACAAGCCACACGAAGCTATTCCAGCTTTACGACATCTTGCATGGTTTAGAGCTCACAATACAAAAATGGTGCGAATAACTGAACTCTAGCGGATGTGACTACAATGAGGCACTAGCTTCCGGAAGGTAATTTGGCAAAGTTGTAGAGAGACAACTATCTATCCATAAGGTTTGTGTCGCCACTTGCGGAAATGATCCATCAGCGAAGTTGATGAACTCGTTCTTCGTTCCCGCATCCCCAATCGGTGGTAGGTGTGACGCTCAAACCTTTTCGCGCTCAAGGCCCGGTCCGACCCGGAATCCACGTTCACATCATCAACGTATTGCTGCAATTGAATCCAGCGTCTTCAGATGCGAATTCCTGCTATAACTGACTTTCTGCTAGCGCTACATATTTTCCTCTAGTCAGTCACCAAAGTTGGGGCCATACTTTAACTGTCAGTTTACACACACCTATCAGCAAAACTCAAACAAAATCGGAACGCGTTGCCAGCAGGACGCCTGTATGGCATCACATGCGGCCTTTTCATAGCAACAGATGCTGTCAAATTTCTCAATGTGAGCTAAAATCCAGAGAACATGCGGTGTGAAGGATCCTTTTTGCAATTGTGAGATAAGTCCTCGGCGGTCGCCGTTCGCCATTCGCGTTTAACTGGAAGTTCCGAAGACAGGGATCCTATGAGGCACGTCATACTGCTAGGAGCAAAGGGTAGAATTTATGGGGGGAAAAAGCAATTGTCATCATGGAATTCTCGTGTGCCGATAGGTCATCGCATGCACGCAATCCCTGAACCGCGATTCACAAGCAATGTTGTAATGTTGTATGGAGAGGTAGAGCCCCGTGACTGAATGGCTTTAATTGGACATGCATCTTTGTTAGCGGTGATAAGAGGGCATCCATCGCCTCTGACGATAATACCGAGCTTCGGACTTCGTATGGACCGTTATACTAGGAAACAAATGCTGACTGCCGACGGGGGGAGGGCTTGTAAACGGATCATTTCTACGATTTCTGACGGCCTTCCAGCCGAGATGCTCGTAGCACCGAGGAACTCTCGGATAGTGATGGCGGACGGCGGTCCCAAACTGCCTGCGCCCAAGATCTATCCAGCATGGCTGCTCGGACTCGAGTTGGCACTGATTGGTAAGTGTACGGCGGCGCTAGTCCTCGCCCGTGGGGTCATCAAGCGAAATTTCTAAGCTAGGCGTATATCCACGTCCGCAACTACTTCGCTGTCCAGCCATACAAGATGACAGAGCAAGTCGGAACAATGCGTTATCCGACACGAGGTATCACTCCGCGTCTTAGGTACGTACGTATTACGCCGTGTAACCGCCTAGACGTGCCACCATACAGACGCCACTGACCCACCGTGACTATCGTGATCTAAACAGGACGTTTTATAGGTATCCACAGCGGACACTGCCTCACCTGCTTGCTTCATAAGCAGGGAGGGGGGTTGCATGATGCTAGTTGGATGTTGAGGCACTCGGCTACTTTAAAGATTACCCATCTTCGCCCGGCATCAGTCGTTCCGACTCGACAGCAAGTCTTCGGCGACATCCACGAATACGCCATGACGGCAACCACAGCCGAAAGGCCCACGAAGCGTTCGCCCCTGCTCCTCATCACGGCTTTTGCTGGCGAAGGGCATGCGATCCCTCTCCTCGCTATCGCATCATACCTTGTCAAAAAGCGTTACGAGGTTGTCTTTATTTCACCGCCAAACTTCCGGCACAGAGTCGAAGAAGCCGGGGCCGAGTGGGTCTGTACGGACAATCCTTTCACCCCAGAACTTTTCCGGAGTCTAGCCGAGACGGCTTCCTTGCCTTTCGGGCCGGAGCGTTTCGCTGTTGAAATCAGGAAAGTTTTCATGGATACGCTCCCCTCCCGGGCGCGGAAAACAGCCGAAGTCCTGGCCCTGCTGAAAGCAAGGGACCCTCACCGCCAGATCATTGTCATCGAGGATGCCCTCAACTGGTCCTTCTTGCCTCTCAAGTATGGAATGCCTTTGCCCAAGGGCTTAACGGAAATCCCGAGAAGCATAGGCATTGGCGTTGCCGCTCTCCTCCTGGAGAGTCGGGATACCGGGCCAGCTCCATACGGATTACCACCCGATTCCACCCACTCGGGTCGGCTAAGGAACGCAATTCTTCAAGACTTGGTTGAGAAAGGGCCGCTGAAGCCTGCGCTAGACGGTTTGCAGGAGGCAATGGAGACACTGGGCTGCACAAACATCCCGACCAAACGCATCTTCAGATGTGCCTACACAGCCCACGATGTGATGCTACAACTTTGTCCCCCGAGCCTCGAATACCCAGTTTCCGACCTGCCGCCGTCAGTCGAGTTCATTGGCGTGCTGCCGCGCAAGACACCAAGTCCAGACTTCCGATACCCCGCTTGGTGGTCCGAGGTCGAGAGAACACAACGGGACAACAGATACCGCCATGTCGTTTTCGTATCCCAGGGCACGGTCGCCTCAGACTACACCGAACTCGCGTTGCCCACTATCGAAGCCTTTGGCAACAGGCGTGACGTTCTTGTCGTTGTGGCTCTCGGGACTCGTGGCGCCCAGCTTCCTTCAGAGGTCATGATTCCTCCCAACGTTCGGGTTCTGGATTACATGCCTTATGACACCATCCTTGAATACACCGATGTCTTTGTCTCGAACGGCGGGTACGGCGCCTTAACCCACGCTGTGCGCAACGGCGTCCCCGTGGTTCTTGCCGGCGAGAGCCAGGAGAAGAGCGAGGTGGCCATGCGTGCCGTGTATGCTGGTATTGGCGTGAGCCTCGCCACACAGAGACCGACGGCAGAGCAGATCCGGAAGGGCACCGAAGAGGTCTTGCGAGATACGAAGTACAAAAAAGCCGCGATGAAGCTGAAAAGCGAGGGCGATAGTATGGACGCTCTGGCTACGGTGGAAGCAAAGGTGAAGGAGATGACTCAATGAAGCCAGCAATGAGAAACCAAGATGGACTCTAACCATTTTCTTTTGACAATCTCTCAACTCGGTGCGCTACACTATTTTGCTCTTCTAGATGTATAATAAGCTGCCCGTCGTCTTCGAATGCAGAATGCTTGGGCTCGAACATGTTCCCGATGGCATTTGGCTGTGGCAGCTAAAACCCCCGTCCAAAAGTGCTGATCTAGCACCTACACCACCCACAAAATTAACTCATATCGACCACTGAGATCCGTATCACTTGCCTTTCGGTCTCCCGGGCGAGAAAGAATTTGTCAAGGCTACGTATTTTATAGCCGTTGGGGTGTTGTGAATTCTCTCATCACCTAGGAATAGGACAGTAAGTCTATGAAATGTTCAAAATGAGAGTCACTTTTATAATGAGCCCGTGATTACCGGCTACTTTGGTTTTAGGGTTGTCATGAGGGGTTGTCAATTCGCCGTTCTGGTGTTGCAATTTGTCTTTCTTCTTCTTTGCAATCCAGTCGGCGAACTGAGGCGACGGGCTCATTAGGTCCAGATACGGGCGAGTGTTGGCATCCTCAATAGTTGTAAGGGATATCGGTTGCGGACTCTGGATATCGGATGCGCCTAGGGCGACGAGGGCAGCTTAGACGTCAGCAGGGTACATGACGATAAGCATGGCTGCTACGTCCTTGAAAGTCTGTCCTAAGCTACAGCTTGGGTTCCTCTGTATATATCAGGGACAGTATCGCTGGGGCATATAGCAGGAGCCACAGACGGAACCTCTCTCAAAGACAACCAAATAGGTCAGCTAGTCTATTACGGCAATAACGGACTAGCCCTCTGCGGAACGAAGGGCTGTCTTGCACTGACTCAAGTAGCGCCCAGCGGGGTCAAGGCCGTTGCTAATAACCAAACAGAAGGCGCAGTGACTATTATCATAGATCGACTTCAGCCAGGCGCGGAGGGCGTCAGAGAGCCGGACGTCCTCAGCCGTAGTGGCTTGCTGCTGGACCTTAGTTTGGTGTTGGCCTACGGCCTGGGTTGCCAAGAGTGCCGAAAGCGGCTCCAGGGCGCGACGCGGGGGGACGGGTCCCCTAGTTGGGACTTGAGGTTTTTTGTCGTTCACGTTGACATCTCGGGGCCAACTTTGGTTGGGTATCGCATTTCACCTTCTTCTCATTGCTTGTTTTCATGATTGTTGGAGGGTGTACAGTGATAAGCAGATGCAAAGGGATGGGACTGCACCACCGAAAAAATGGTTCAGTAACGGGCAAGCAAGGATGCCGGAAACGGCTCATGCCGTGGCCGGGACTCAATACGGGCCACGAGAATGCGGGACAAAGGCTTGGCGCTTGCGGCGGGCGAGAGGCTGCGAATCACGGTCTCGGTCGAGGAGGCAACCCGACCCCGCTTTTATGCCGCGGAGCCGAGATGAGGGTGGAGAGGATAAGTCCCGGATTTGTGGAGAGCTTCCGGGGGCGAAGTGTGACCGACGGGTCTTACGATATCCACAGACAAGGTGTAGATGAGGATTAGCCTAGGGGCTAAATCGTGGGCATTTTCGACGGGTCGAATGAGCGGTGAGGCAAGTCAGGTGAGTTAGTGAGTGGAAATAGTAAGCAAGGGAGAGAGGGATTGAGTGAAGGAGTGAAAGAGTGAAGGAAGGACTGATTGATGATTGATAAGCGAGCTCGATTTTACCCAAATACGAAGAATTTGCGGTAGCGGAGTACAGTGCCGACTCAGCAGGAAAAATCCCCAAAGGCGCAGCTCAATACACGACGGGGATTTCGTGGGGCGCCTGCAGGTGCATTTGTGTAGCGCACAAACACCCATGGAATGAGGTTTTTGAACCGCCTTACGTGAGCGACTAATACGGAGGTGAAAAGAAGAGAGGGGGAAAAAAAAAAAAAAAAAAAAAAAGGCCAAGAAGAAGGAATGAGTAGTTACTGGGTGCCGAGGTACCTGGACCAACAAAAGGAGATGAAAAATGCGGATTGGCTGGCGATATGAGGCTGAGCTGAGCCATTTCGAGACTGGTGGGGCTGCTCCTTCCCGCCAGGCTCCTCCTCTCTTTGCCCCTTTCAGCGCGTTGCCTACTATGTATGCATGGTCAGGTAACTACCTGTGCTAGGTACAGGCAGGTAGGAGGAGCCCCCTGCAGCTTGTGATTTCCGAATCTGCCACTCGCTTGGCTTTCTTTTCTTCCCCTGCCCAATGTCCATTGTCCATCTTCCATTGTTCACTGTCAGGGTGGTCGACTTCGAAGGAAGCAAGCAAGCAAGGAAGGAAGGAAGGAAGCAGCGTTGCTCGACGGAAACATCCCAATTTGACACGGACGATCTCATGAGTGCAATGCGCCGGATGTCTCCATCTTTGGCTCTGACAAGCACGGTTTAGCCCCCTTCATCGGTAGCAGTTAACAGGCAGACACATTGCAGGTCTGCCCACGGGCCCCCGAAGTACTGCACTGCAACTAACATTAATTATATTAAAATAATAGATATATTCAGATATTCTAATTAGTTAATCCAGTTAATGTAGGTCTACTATATCCTCTGCGTTTTTTTAGGGTTAACTAGACTACCTACCTACGTGTAATAACAGTAAGTTAATAACCTATTACTGTTAACCTATTACTACTAACCTATTACTACTAACCTATTATTAACTATATTATTTATTACTAATTAACTTTTTACTTTATTATTATTATTTTTTTTATATTACTATAGTATTAGATATCCCTTTGTTAACTACTAGTAAGGCTAATATAATTAATACATTAGATAATAAAATTATAACCTTTTAAGTGCTTTTACTACTTAACTATAAAGATAATATAGTTAACTTTAACCTAGAGGACTTTTAGAAGAAGCTTAATAATAAAAATATTCCCTTTACTAGTTTATTTACCTATTTAACTATTTACTTTATTAAGACTTACCTTATATATCCCTAAGACCTAGGCTAGCCTTATTATTATACTTAATAACCTTACTACCTACTATAAGTAATACTTTTACTTTACTAAGCCTATAGAGGTAAATGCTACTAAATTTAAATAAATATAGGCTTTTATTAGTAATTTCTTTAATTTAACTAAAGCTTAAGGCTATACCTCTAGTAGTACTACTACTACTTACTATTACTACTTACTTTAGTTAACTAAAGCTAATAAGCCTTAAAATAGTAAGGCTATAATAACCTATAACTATATTATATAAGTAGGCACTAGTTACTTTATATATACTAAAGTTATTAAGTAATAAATAAGTAACTTTACTATAATAGTAGTTATTTTATAAGTTAGCCTAGGCCTTTATAACTACTTACTTAAACACCTTAATTAAATCTACTTACTATAAGGTATTAAAGACCTTATTACTAAGTAAGTTACCTTTAGTTATTTACTTACTAAAGTCTACTATATACTCTAAGGCTACTTTAGCTACTATAAGGCTATTAAGTAAGCACTAGTAACTATAGGTAGCTATTAGCTTTTTTACTAGGCTATATATAATATAGGCTACTACTAGCTAGCTATCTACTTTAACCTTTACTTTATTAGCTATAACTATTTATAGTACCTATAAGTTACTAAAGCTAAGGCTTATTACTATACCTATAACCTTTAATTTTAGTATTATATAGTCTAATATACTAATAAAGTAAGTAAAAGGCTTATATAGGCCTCTAAGGCTAGCCTTATATTATTATAGTAATATAGCCTTTTTACTATAATAAATACTACTTACTAGACTAACTAGCTTAGCTAGCTACTTTATATAGTTATAGTTAAAGATACTATAGGTAGCTAAATACTAGTTAGCTACTTTTTTACTAAAAAAAGTAATACTAATATTATTACTACTTACTTATATATATTAAAAGGCTAAGCTAACTAGTAGTTATATTACTTTTTTACTAATAATTTAGCTATTAAATAATACACTATATATAATACTTTTTATAGCCTTATAGATAGTAAAATAAAAGTATTATACTTCTTTTACTATATCTACTATAAAAGAACCCTCTACTATTATTTTATAAAATACTTAACTAGCCTACACTATATAATCTCTATATTAAAATATTACTATATAAGGCTAAGTTATTATAAATCTATTACTACTATAATAAAAAGTTTAATATATAAAAAAGCTACCTATATTAAAAATAACTAGCTACTAACACTTAACCTCTAGGCTAACTATACTTATAACTATTTACTACTACTACTTTAGGCTAAAATAACTAACCTACTTAAAGGCCTTTATAGTGTTATTAAGTGTAGCTACTATTATATACTCTAGTAATTTAGCCTCTAAAAGGCTATTAAGTATATTAACTATATTAATAGTAAATACTTTACTACTACTAAGCTATACCTTATAAACTTTTATAGTAAAGTCCTTTATAAATAATAGGTTTTACTTTATTTTTTTTACTTACTTATACTTATATAAAAGTTAATTACTAGTAAACTTTATAAGGTAAAGGTAGCTACTACTAATAGTTTAGATTTATATTATAATATATAAGTAAGTAATAATAGGCTAGTATATAACTATAGCTTTTATAAGTAGTAGGTTTTACTTTACTAATATATCCTCTAATAGGCTATAACTAAAGATAATATTATAAGCGCCTACTAGTAGTAATAAATATAGGGCTAAGGTAAAGCTAAGTATAAGATATATAAGGCTTATAAAGTATACTATATACTATATATAGCTAACTATAAAAGTATTCTTATCCCCTCTAGGCTTACTATTTAAAGCTATATAGAGGTTTTATTAAATTAATACTATTAATAAGAGGAGGCCTATTATAATAAGTAACCTAATTACCTTACTTAGTATATAATATAAGTAGAGGAGGCTATTACTTAGCTAGTAGGTCTTATACTTAATAATTAATAGTAAGGCACTTTAGTTAGCTATAATAGTTAATTTATACTTTTTAATATTATAGTAGGTAACTTAGTAAAAAATAGAAATATAAACCTTACTATTAATAAAAGGATAAATAGTAGTAATATAAAGGAGGAAAAAAATAATAGTTAATATAGTAGGTAAGTAAAGTGTTTATATATAAGTATAGATGTAGGCATATCTATACTAGCCCCCCTAGTATGCCCCCTATACTGCCTCATTAGGTTTAATGCTGACTTTAGGAGAAATAGGTGGCCGCCAGGGCGAAAGTCCCTGAGGTACGCATGCGCACAGATGCCAGCCCCGCAATGTGTCTGCCTGTTAACCGCTACCCCTTCATCACCCCTGGTTCCAGCTAGCGCAGTCGGTATGCACCGTACCTACCCTACCGCCAAGGTACCTAGGGTGCTAGGGTAGCTCAGAGGCGAGAGAAGGTGCCGATGGTTGCTTTCGCTGTTGCTTGGGAACATGCCGATAGGTGGGGCCGCCCTTGTCTGCGTCCTCCTGATCTCCTGAGCCACGGCAGCATCTCTTGGCACCGGTACTGCATTACAGCCTTGATGCCAATCAGTCTTTGGGTCGCTTTTCTCTCTTCTTCCATCCATCGGAACAGAGGCCGATATCTTTCTCTGTGTGCAGTGGATGGGCTGGAAAGCCCACCCTGAACCCAACGAGAATAATGGAGGGGGGGACAGTGAATACAAACCTGCAGCATGCCTATTGGAGACGCGACCGCCTTGTCAGGTATACAAAGACACAACACACCGCCGGGTGTATCCACGCAGGTAATGAGGTACCTTAATCTGCCTTACTAAGTACCCAGGTACCTGGGCACACACCTCAGTCATCCATCAAGACGACGGACGCGAATACGCGCATCTCTGATTCGACGCGAGCCATTCTTGCACCTGTCCATCCATTCATCCATCCATACATTCCATCTTCCAAAGCCACTGTCAACGTTCATCGATCGTACAGAGTACTCATTAAAGCATCCGCAAAGGTCATGGGCGCCTGGGTCTCTCCACAATACCATTCATCGTGTGTCACCAAACCTCGATCTTTCTTTGTCGCTCTCTCTCTCTCTCTCTCTCTCGGTGCCCTGTGCCGTAGAGCCGAGTGACCATGGATGGCCCCGTCCTACCGTGGCTGTAGATAGGCTACCGCTCGAGTTCTGCCCCCCCGGCTTAAACTTTGACTGAAGAAGCCCTTTCCCTTTCCGGGCTTGGCCTTTTCTCATCGTTGTTGTCGTCTCCATCGTCGCTCGCCGCCCGCGGCCTTCATTACAGGCTCTAGCCCATTGGAGCTTTTCCCTTTCTTGTCCTTCCTTCCTTCACTTTACCCTTTAATACATAGTGGGTACCTTCCGCTCGTACCGCCATTGGAATGCTTGTCTTCGTCCCCCTTACCCATTTCGTCGTCTCGTCTTTCTCCCTTGCCTTCCTCCCCGCCCCTCCACTCGAGTTGAGTGCGACAAGGAAGGCCCGTAGAGAGGTGTTGCTGCTCCCCTGTGCGGACCGCGGCGACTAATTACACGACTGCACTTTCCTTTTCTCTAAACCACGGACCTTCGCCCCCTCCTTGTTCCATATTTGACCTGCATCGGCGTTGCATCTTCGAAACAAGCTTCCAAAACGGCCGGCTTTTGACACTTTGTCCGTCTGTCTGCTGCACTATTGTGTTTCTTCTTGCGCAGCAGAAGTCCTACCCATCAATTACTCCTAGTCCTTGTGAGCAGGCTTTTTTTCCATCATGGCAGATCCCAATTAAGTGCTGACCGCCTGTAGATTATACCACAGCTTCTTCTCCTTTGATTACGACGACGACATTGACGACGACGACGACGACGACGACGACGACTACGACGACGACTACGACTACGACTACGACGGCGGCGGCGGTGGACCACGACACCCAAGACGACCACCTCGACGACCATTTTGTATCCCAGTCTGGCTTGACTAAAGGACTTCGACGTCAACCATGCCCAAATCCCCCGACCATGTCTATACCGAAGACCAGCACTCGTCCTCGGTAGAAGATTTCGACCTCGACGATGAACACAAGACGCTGTTGTTGCCGGGCTCGCCGTCGCCATCCCACAAGAGGAGACAGGGGACGGTTCTTGTGTGGCTCAGAGGCCGGCAGCGCTCGTTGCTGAGAAGGTTCCGTCGTCAGCCTCGCTCTCTTCCCCGCCTGCTCCTCCGCTACGCCTTCTTGTTCGTCCTCATCGTCTTGACCGCGACGCCCATACTCTTCCCGTCTTATACGCGCCACCCGAAGCACTACAAGGACCTGAGGAATCGATGCTTGGTGTCTGACAGCCTTTCCGGCTGTGCGAACCTGCGGAACGAAAAGGTATTCATTGCTGTCAGCTTATTCGATCCCGAGGGCAAGATTGCCGGCGGTGAGTGGGCCAAGAACGTCCTCGACCTTGTGCACATGATCGGGGAGGACAACGCCTTTCTCAGCATCTACGAGAACGACAGCGGCGACCTGGGCACCGCCGCCCTCGAGGAGTTTAAGAAGAACGTGCCCTGCAAGCACAAGATTGTTAGCGATGGCCACGTTGACTACAGCGCATTCCCCCATGTGACGATGCCCGACGGGTCGCAGAGGCTGAAGCGCCTTGCCTACCTGTCAGAGATGCGTAACCGCGCGCTCTACCCGCTGGACCAGCACGATCCCGACGCCGGCGACGTCAAGTACGACAGGATCCTGTTCCTCAACGACGCCCTGTTCGCCCCGATCGACGCCGTCCACCTGCTCTTCAACACCAACACAGGCCAAGACGGCCGCGCCCACTACCTCTCGGCCTGCTCGATCGACTACGACTGGAACCCGTTCCTCGAGTACGACCTCTACGCGCAGCGCGACGCCGAGGGCTTCTCCAACGGCATCCCCATCTTCCCCTACTTCACCGCCGCCGGCAAGGCTATCTCGCGCAAAGCCATGGTCTCGCAGACGGATGCCGTCCCGGTCAAGAGCTGCTGGGGCGGCATGGTGGCCATGCAGGCCAAGTGGGTCCAGAACATGGACAGGAAGCTGCCGACCAAGGACTGGCAGGCCGTGGCGCACCACGTCATCAACCCAGACCACCCGCACAACGTGACGGGCCCGGTGCGCTTCCGGTACGAGCCCGAGCTGTATTTTGACGCCTGCGAGTGCTGCCTGTTCCTCGCCGACGTGACCACCGTCGCAGACAAGGCCGGCGAGCCCGACACGGGCGTCTTCGTCAACCCCTACGTGCGCGTGGCGTACCGCAAGAGGACCCAGCGTCTCGAGCGGCTGATCCGCCGCTGGGAGCGGCTCATGGACCTCCCGCAGGGCATCATCACCTACTTCTCGCGGTTCCCGACACCCAACCCCCACCGCGAGGTCGTCGAGGGCCAGCGGTTCCGGGAGGAGATCTACCAGCGCCGCGAGGGGTGGAAGATGGTGGAGCGGACGGGGCGCAACGGCATGTTCTGCGGGGTCCGCGAGATGCAGCTCATCAAGGAGGGCCCGCGCAACGGGCGCAACTGGGAGAACCACTACGGCATCCCGTGGGACCAGCAGACGCTGAACTTTCCCATGTGATTGATTCCGTCTTTAATTACGAGGAAGAGCAAAATGGATGGGGGTTGGGCGGGTGGAAAGTTTGATAACGGCACGGCGCATCGGTTCACTTTTTTCCCCCTCCCCTTTTTTTGGTGCGGGCTATTGTATGTGTGTGGGTGCACGCTGGAAATGATACCACTTTCGTTTAATCCTGTTGCTATATCCATCCATTCCCATCTACATAGATATACGGAGTATAATATGCATGTACCGAATACACTGTTTTTTCAAATCCTCAGCACCTTGCCCCGCTCCCAAGTGGCGCGCCGTTGCACGACGCACACTGCGAGTGAGGGCTCAAGGTGACGAGGTGAGGAAGCAGCAGCTGTGTATATACAAAACAACCAGGTGAGTGAACCGGCCAGGCAACGCTCACGGACTCGCCTCGCCTGCCTGCCTGTCGACGCCGCCGCGACCAAAAGCTCACGCAGGATATGTAGGGACAGGACGGTACTCATTGCGGCGGCTCACCATGTATTAGACCCCCCCCCCGCGCGGATCGGTCCTACTGCAGTATGATAGCACTCGAACCTACCCAGCCCAGCCCGGGGCCCTCCCCTGCCCTCCAACTACGCATTGCGCGTCTCATTTCCCGTCCGGAAAGTCCAGCAGAGAGGACAGAACCAAGGGACGTAGTAACAAAAAAAAAAGACGAAGAAGTAAAAAAATCATGGGAATAAGTAAGGGAGGCGACGATATGACAAACGGCCCCGCAGAAACCCCGTGGAAGAAAGTAACAATCCCGAACGCGATCCCGACCCAAAAGGAACCTGACGTTACGAACAGCAAACCCGAGTCCGCTCGCTTAACAACCAAGTTGGTATCTTGAGAAAAGACACTAGTAAGTCCCAGAAGCAAGGAATAGAGAGAGAGAGAGAGAGTCATGATATCCATGTGTTTTTAGTTTTGGCGGAACCTCCCCAGACGCCTCGACGACGCGGCGCATGGATGGCTAGAAAGAGATGCTTCAAACGACGACGAGTCGAGCGGGAAGACGACCCGGAGAGAAAAGACGGGAAAAGACGACCGGGACGCTTAGGCCGCGGCAGGCGTCGCCTTGGCCTTGGAGGTCTTGGGCTTGGTCTCCTGCGCGTGGGTTAGCTGGCGAAATGCTAAGGGGCGCGTGAGTTTGGGAGGCAGCGCTACACACCTTCTTGGCGGCCTTGGTGGCGCCGGCTGCCTTGGTTTCTGCCTTCTTCGCTACTGACTTTGCCTGCGGGAAATGGTTAGCTTCAAGGCCGACAGAGGACAAGATGGAGAGGCGCTGCAGCAAAAGTTGAAAGAGGGAGAAGGAGAAGGGGGGAGCCATGAACATACCTTAGTAACAACGGAAGGGCCCTTCTTGGCGGTGGTGGCCTTCTTCTTGGTGACGCCGACAGGCTTCGCGACCTTGGAGGCGGTGGAGGTGGTGGTCTTGGGCTTCTTTGCGGTGGCAGGGGTGGCAGTGGTCTGCTTACGAGCAGGGGCGGTGTCGACGACGGGGAAGACACGCGGCTTGGAGTTGCCGGTCTGGGAGCGAGTTCCTTCGCGGGCCATTTTGATAGTGGTTCTGGGGATCGCGAGGAAATGTCAGCGCACGGAACAGGAGCAGCGGAACGAGGCGACCGCAATGGAGGCGATGCGACAAGAAGACGAGGTGGCGGACTGTGAATGCGCTCCGCGTGAAAAGCGACGGGAGGAAAGAGTGGAGGGGAAAAAAAAGGCAAAGCAGAGTGAGGCAGGCGGGCGATGGCGCGATGGGGCGGGCTGAGAAGGAGACGAACTTGGCGGACTTACGAATGGATGAAACTGGGGGGGAAGAGGGCGTGATAAAGCTTTCTGAAGCTGCAGAGTCGAGTTATTGAGGTAGATGAAGGGAAGAAATAAGTTTGCGACGAGGAGTGGTGGATTGCAGAGGTGTTTTGTTGTGAAGAGGAGAGAGATGGGAGGTGACGTGGTTTTCGTGTTGCGGCGCGAAGGGGGGGAGGAGACTGCGGATATGGCTGATTGAGTTGGGCATGTGTGAGTGAGTGTGTGTGTGGGCAGAGGTCACAAGGGGGGTGTTACTGATGGGAGGAGCGGTGTCGGAACAGACCCAAAGACGGGTTACTACCTTTTGGCTGGGTTTTTTTTGGAGGAAATTCCCCTGAAAGAAAAAGACGATTTAATTTGGTTTCGAGACTTAAACTATCGATTGGTACTTATTGAGTGGTTTTGAGCAAGCTTGCCCTGTGTTGTGTTTTGAAGCGGAAATGGCGACGGGTCGAGGATTCCGAAAGGCAAGAAAGAGGTGCGCACATTGATGCGAAAGGGCAAGGGCGCGATGGAGGTGTCCGCGCCCTCTTTCCCAAAAGGGCAACTGTCAAGCCAGACAAGGTCAGACCGGGTCGGGTCGGTCGCGACATGCGGCCGTGGCTCATCACTCGAGGCGGCTCCTCCTGTTGTTTTTGTTTATTGAATCACGTCGTTGCTGTGCTTTTTTTCATTCTGCAGCTTCCTTATCAAAGACGGCAAGCGCCAACCAAGCGCAGGAGGCAAGTGCGTGCAGGTGCAGCAGGTGCAGGAACGGACGGCCCCTTCCTCTTAATGCCAAACATAGGCATACCTACTACAGCCATAGGTAGTAGCCGATGCCGAATGCCTGCCTTCCCATGGACTGTCCAATGTCCGGTTCTCTTTCCTGTTTTCAGATCCTATGGACCCTCCTTCCGTCCGTCCGGCGTCTTTCTCCTCCTCTTCCCTCGTTCACCTTTTCTATTTACTCACTTCTCCCACCCGTCTTCTTTTCTCTGTTATCTTCACTTTTCCATTTCAATTTCCTTCCCTTTTTTTGTTTCATTCAGTACTTTACATTTCTCGGCCTTGCTAACCTATTCCCGTCTTAATCGCACCGGACTCGTCCGCAGCCACGGTTGCCGGACGGACCGCTCTACGCGTGCATATCCATACCATTTCCCCTTCGGCCCCTACTGGAAACACATCTTCCGCCCCTTTTGAAAGGCGCGGCTGCCCTGCTTTTTTCCTGGCTCGTCTCCCGTCGTCTTCTGCTGCGTTTCTAGAACCCATCTCTCCAAGCGTCGGATCGGCAAACTACATTGCATGCAATCTCGCGACAAGCCCGCCGGCAACCCCGACCGACGGTGGCCGTAACCATGTCCAACCAAGTTCAACCGAGCACACGAGGACGGACCGGGGCCAAGGACGCGCCAACTCTGGACCGAAACCACCAAAGCTACGCGACCCCTATTAGCGCTCTTCTGCCGTCCCGACCAGCACGGCGGATCAGATGTCGTGCCAGACTTACATCCTTCCTCAGCGGCTTCCATTCGCCTGAACCGTGCAGCACAAGCGTGCCTCGTGACCAAGACCAGGACCCTCGCCGCGCGCTTTGCCGCTGCCTTTCACATGGAGAAATGTCGGGTTGAAGCAACGAGGCCTGGCATACCAGAGGCGATGGGTGTCCATAGAGAGCCGGCGCGAGCTCTTCAGCGCCACGCTCGATGCACGAAGGGTCTGCTGGATGGAGCCCGGGCCTCCGCTTCTATTCTCGACCGACCGTTGAACCCCGCAACCCTCTCACCCCCATTACATCTGCGGCCCCGTCTTTGGACGCTATTCCGAAGTCCACGCATCACAATGCTGTTCCAAGGTTGGAACGAGTGCCGCCTGTTCACCCCACGTCTCTCGGCCTCCACTCGGCAATGGAAATCTGACCACGCACTCTGTTTTCTCAAAAACAAAAAACATATTCAATTTAACATACACTCGCAGTCCACGCCACTCGCCCAAATCCCATCATCGTCCTGACCTTCAAACAGACTATTTCTGGGCAGGCAGCGGCGTATAGCGAGGTGGCGGGGTTCTTGTGCCGGACCCCGGAAGCTGTGCCCGCCACAGCTGGTGGTCCTCGAACAAGTTGTCGAGATCCTTCTCCAGTTGGTTGCCCCGCCGCACAATGGTGGTCGCATCCTGCATCATTGCCTTGTTCGCTGCCTTAACCCTCTTCGCACAGCTGTGAAGCGCCTCCGACCGCCAACTATACCTCGACAGGTTTACCATGTCGATAGCCCCTGTGACTTTGTTGACCTCGGATATGTCCACTCCCGGTTTCTTCGCCAGAGCCTCTAAATCTGCCCATTTGTTCTGAATGTTCGCCATGAGCATGAACTCCTTGGCCAATAGCCGCAGTTGACCAACCTGGGCCGCGACTGCGACGTGAACCAATGTCAGCAAAGCAAACAAGTTTCGTGGGGGAGCGGTCCGCTGTTCTTACATTGCCCAACGCTTTCGCGCAGTTCTGTATGTGCGCTTTCAATCACCAACGACCGCTCTTGGAGTTTGACCATAAGATCTGCCCGCTGCGGCTCACCTGTCGAACATCGGACCTTGAGGCCGACTGCCTTCAGTACCCTCCTCCACCAGCTCCGTTTGCGAGGCTGTTGGTTGTCCACACCACCGCGCACCGCCTTGTATGCTTTCTCCATCTCGACGACAGTTGTCTTTTCAATATTCCAGTCTTGCTCACCGACAAGACTTCTCTTTAACTCGTCGGACGTTATGAACACGCCGTTCACATCAGCATTCTCCCCGCCCAATGCCTGAGACATAGACTTGCTCAGACGTGCTGCCTTGATAATCTGGGATTTCATCTCTTCAGACCGAATAGACATCTCGAACAGCTGCAGTAGTTCGCCGTACCAGCGTGCAATGATCTTCATCGTGTAGACCGCCAAGTCGATATCGATTTGAAGCGATGTGCATTCAAGCATAGACGTGGAACAAAACACGTTCCAGAGCGGGCTTGTGTTGCCTTTGGCACCATTGACTCTCCAACACGTCTCTCGTAGGGCTTGGCGGCTGGACATTGGGGACACGTTTGTTCCGAGTACGGTATCTCCTAACTGAGAATTGGGTTTTTAGCAACATACACACACACACGCACACACACACATACGGAACCAAGCACTTAAATACGTACCTCCATGTAGGACTTGATGAGCTTTACAGCAGCCTTCTGCGCACTGCTATTCGGGTCGGCTTGTTCGCGCGGGTGGCAGTGATACCTCATCCCGTTGATCCCCCAATCCTGCCCAGGACCCGTTGCTAAGGGACTGAAGCTATAACAAAAGATCTTGCGCCTCTCAAGGGTACCGCGCTCCTTGACGCTTGCCGTGACCAGTGCTCTCATCGCCTTGTGGACGATATCGACAGTATCCCGAAATGTACGTCTCGCAAGCCCTAAGTCATCCAGGGTCATACTCTTGTGTATGAACCTGACCTAAACGGCGTCAGTGACTATCTTCCATGCAGGTGTAGATCGGAGAAGCAGCTCACTCCAAATGTGACGATCCGTATAGTTGCATCTGGCATGTCTGATCCATCTGTGTGGAAGTTGACGGCGAGAAGCTCCCACGCCGACAGACTCTTTCGATGTTTCTCGAGCTCCAAGTACATTTTAAGCGAGTCGCAGCACTTTTCAATCTCGCCAGGGGTCGCATAGTAGTGGCACGTCAAGTTGAACGCGAGCTTCTCTTGAGTTTTGTTTGTCGCCATCTTGTTGGTTCGGCGCGGCCGTGGAATCGGCTGCTGACCTTTCGTGAAAATGAGGCTGGTCAATGTCGAGATACCGGAGAGTATGGAGGGGAGTCTGGTTTTTCTGAGATTCTGACGGCGAGGACCAAGCTGATATGCGCCTCGACGGCCGTGACCGTTGCGAACTGCTGCCCACAAAGGTAGGCCGCGCTTACGCTTAGAGTTGCTCCTTCCCAACTACCTTGATTGCACAAGGCCCCACTTTGTATGGAAAAACATACGGTTACTTCTTGAGAAACCAAGATGAGTCGGAACTTTGACTAAGCGAATAGGACGAGAAAGAAGCCTTGCTGACCGAGAACTGTATGGTTGGACACAAGACTGGTTCAACGTCAACGACCTCCCGGGTGCCCGTTTTACCAGACACGTGAGATAAGACGTCTTATGTATGCGGGTAGGCTTGGAAACTTTTATGACGGGTTAGAAGCCGTCTAGATGTGGTAATACCCAAGAACTGTGGCCCTGAAAATCCTCATTTACTGCCTACCTTGTATCGTAGTACTATCGGTCCGCATGGAGTGGCGTCGACCTGATAGGCTTGGGTGCCGTCTTTTCTATAAAGTTAAATCTAAACTATGAGGGTTGGGTTAGTCTCTTCTAGCCTGGTCGCTCAGCTGATCATAGTGGTGCTGTAGACTGCCAGTTGTGAGTCCTACGGGATTCAGTTGTCGCCAAGCAATAAGGGATTTGCAAAGAACGAACTTCCTCTGGTATTTCTCCATTAAGATGACCAGAAGACTATTTCAGGGAAATCCCCATGGGTTTATCATTCTCATCGAGCTTTTTGTGATCCACCGCGCGTAGTATACCAGCGGATGATGGCCAAAGTGAATCGTCACTTAACCCAACCAAGCGGTAGCTTATTCCCAGACAAGATCGCTCTCTACATTAAACACTTGATCTACCTGCGCATCGTGGACATATGATTGACCAGAATATCTCAAACACCTCTTTTTAGCTTTGACCTCGATTGCGGAATAACAAGTAAAGCTTTGGTATATCCTGTATGCCATTGCCAAAATGACGACTCCCGAATCTATATGCACAATACCTGGCCGTTCTTGTGAAACTAGCCTTATTTCATTGAGATTCATGCTTCGCGCCTCCATTTTGCTGCAAATTTCCACTGAACTCCCGCACCCAGAAGAGCCACCAACTGCATGGTAACACAGACGGTAAACGCCCAGCCGACGCCGATGCCGTTGACCATGGGCATCACGAAGCTCGTGCCGCCGGCCGCAAAAAGGCATCTTGCGAGGTTGAGACTGGCGCTCGCGGCTGCGCTTCGGTCTGGGAACACGTCGATGAGATAGGTCATGACGAGAGACTGGGTCGATACCGCGGTCCATCCTGTGACGAAGGTTGATATGATTGGCACGGCGATGTGCACACGGCGTGAGAAGTTGATTGTCCACCCGAAGACGGCGATGGATACGCATTGGAGAAGGGAGAAGATTGGAACAAGACGGAGGCGGGCCTTTTCGATGGGGAAGTCGCGGAGCGCGGTGGAGGTGAGCACAGCATTCTCGGCCCCGTCGTCGGCCTCGTATTTCGCTTTTGCCCTGCGGTAGTCGACGTCCAGTATCCTTCCTGTGACGAGGGTGCCGACGATGGAGCCAGCGCCGTTTGCAATGAATGCTAGCCCGATGTGCGTTTCGGAGAGTCCGTACTGAGACTTGAAGAGGCTTGACATGGCGGTGATGCTCATCTGCCATACAGCGTAGTAGACGGCGAGGAAGATGACGATCGGAGCTGCGCCTTTGCTGAATAGAATGCGGATTGGTCCGGTCACATCGACTTTCTTGGTCGATTGCGGATGCGAGGATATGTCTCGTGCGGCCAAATTGACCTTGGTACTCCGCTGATAAAGACATAGGGGGTATTTGGCGATCAGGCTTGGAGGAACACTTGACCCGTTGCCAACGACGGATCTGAGGGTCTCCGGTAGTAAGAGGACTAGAAACGCGAGGAACACGCCGCAGTAGATGGCAAGGAACCAGAAAATGCTCCGCCATCCCAAAGACCCGGCCAGCGCGCCCCCAATGACCGGGCCCACGGCGACGGGAACGAGCAGGCCGGCCTGGAAGACGCCCATGTACCCGCCCCTCTCCTCGCGCGTGGTGATGTCGCTGATGACGCCGGAGCCGATGGCGATCGTGCTGGCGCTCCCGGTGCTCTGGAGGCACCTCAGGGCGACGAGCGTGGCGTAGTTTCTGGTTTCCGCGAGGCCGACGCATGCTCCCAGGAACACGGCGAAGGTGCAGCCGTAGGCCACCCGGCGGCCCTTGACGTCGGAGACGGGCCCCCAGAAGCTCGGCGCCAGCCCCTGGAAGATGAGGTACGAGGTGACGGTGAGGTTGATCAGTTCGACGGAGACGTCGAGGTCGCCGGCGATGGTGGGGAGAGCCGGGAAGTAGATGTTGGATGCGAAGCCCGAGACTGGCTCGGCTGGGTCAGCATGACGCCCAAGGCACGAGAGGATGGGTGGATTGAAGCGCACAGGTAGCTGCGGTTGAGACAATGAAGATGATCAGGCGTTTCTGTCGAATATCAAAAATGCTGTATGGTTCATCGGGCTCGACCGATGGTGAGGGCAATGCTGGTGGTGTGTGGTTGGTGCTCATATTGTCTCTGCGTCGAAAGACTTTCCTACTTGTCAATTCACTGGTTTTTGTCCCCCCCACCTTTTGTTTTTTCTTATTGTGAGGTTTTTTTTTCAGTAAGTCTAAAAAACAAATAAAGAGTATTACTCTGGTTTGGTCTCAAGTCCAATACCTCCAAAGATATTCATTGCCTTTGTCTGAATTACATGACGGAAGCGCTTCGGAGTTGAGCCCCACAATTCGGAGTTGAGATTCTTAGCGGCGCGCATACCATCTCAGGGTCCGCTGTTCAGGATCAGGGGATTTACGGACAGACGGTTGGTCAACCACAGGGCTTCATTAATAGTGCTGAGACGAGAATGATCATTTCGGGTCGAATCTCAATCTTCCACTCGGCACTTACAAGATGGTCGACCATCAGGCGATAAGGGCACACATCTCGGGCTCGGTGCACGGAGCTCGGCCGGACCCGAAGCCCGGAGCCGGCGAAAGGACCCACTATTCCTCCACTTACATAATCCGCCAGTATAGTGCCACCTGGTCTCAGCCGGCTACAGCTGGCAGCTTACTGCGGGCTTGGTTCTTTGGGGAAACGGAAGGGGCCTTCCGCGCATGGGTGCTCATTCATTCCCCTTTCAGTGAATTGACATTCTCGCCTTCGACATCCTCGACTTCATTGTCCAACAACCACACCTGTTCCTCTCCCAGACGCCTTGTGCCCCAATCATGAAGAAGAACCGCAATGTCGACATTCAACGGACTTGTTGCAGAGTTTCCTGACATACGAAGTGAGTGGCTGGACCCTGAATGGGACATCCTGGGGATGCACTCACCATCCGCGTGATGGCCTTGTGTGTTCTTGGAGCCGGCCCAGCCAGACATGCACTCTAGATTCCTCTTTATCACACCGCTAACTCGTCACAGTCGACTTCTTCCGGAGTCATGCTGGCCGTCGTCCACCATTGGCATGCTTCCTGAGCCACATCCACAGCGACCACCTCGCCGGGCTGGAGACCCTGCGCTCCCCCTTTGTCTACTGCTCTGCAGCCACGCGGGAGATGCTCCTCCGCCTGGAACGTTACCCTTGCCGCGTAAACTACGCCAAAGGCATCCTCGAGGCGCGTGTGCAGACGTACAAGCACCTGAAGAACCTGCTCAAGCCGCTGCCTCTGGAAACACCCACCACTCTGGAGCTTGCGCCTGGCAACCACATCCAGGTCACCCTGTTCGACGCGAACCACTGCCCTGGGGCTGTCATGTTCCTCATAGAGGACTTGCATCGCGCCATTCTCTACACCGGCGACATCCGGAGCGAGCCCTGGTTCGTCAACTCAATCGCCAGAAACCCTGCCGTCATCGAGTACACCTCCGGTCTCAAGACCCTCGACAAGATCTACCTCGACACCTCCTTCATCAGGGATGTCCCGTTCCAAACTAAAGCCGAGGGTATTGCAGAGCTGCTCCGGAAGGTCGTCTCGTATCCCACTGACACCATCTTCCACATCCAGGCGTGGACCTATGGATATGAACAGGTCTGGATCGCCTTGTCCAAGGCCTTGAAGTCACGCATTCATGTAGACGACTACAAGATGCGCATGTTTTCTTCCCTGACCGGCAAGACGTCCAACGACCGCTTCAGTTCGTCGGTTCATCTATGCCCCGAAGCTCCTGCCCTGGCCGGCTATGTATGCGGGAACACTCCCCATCCGGGCTGTCTGACTCGGGATGAGCACGTTCGCCTGCACAGCTGTGAAAGGGGCGCCTTATGCAGTGTAGTTCGGAACGCTAGGGTCGTATCCATACTGCCAGTCGTGGCGCACCTTCAAAATGGCGCAGATGTTGCCGAGGCCGGCGTAGGAGGGGGTGGGGACGACTTGGAGCGCGATGCAGAGCTCGATCCCCTGTCGGCACAAGACATCAAGGCAATGGCGAAACTGATGGACGAGACGCCGGGCATCTCCACGGATGCGAAGATCAGGCTTCTGCAATTGTTGGAGGCCGGTGCCGTTAGTGGTCGGAACGTGGCGTTGGACCTTGACATCACGTCCTTTGGGGAGAAGAACGAGACCGCCATCTTGGATGCCTTTCGGACGATCGCCCAGAGAAAGCAAAGCGTCAACGAAGAAGTGGTCAGTTCCTCTGATGGTTCGGCTAAACTGCCACGAGTCATCACATTTCCGTACTCCCGGCATTCGTCGTACCGAGAGCTGTGCGACTTGGTTCGAGCGTTCCGGCCAAAGGATGTCTGGCCTTGCACGGTGAATATTCCCGAGTGGCTCCGAGGTAACGTTACCATCAAGTCTCTCTTTGGGCCCGACTGCTCCGGAGACATCTTCGCTCACGACCTCGAGATGGAAAAGATTGCCCGTGGACGCGCACATGTTCTCCAGCACCAGACATCTCAAGACCCCGACGCTAACCATTCGTCAACGTCGCAACGTCATCAAGCCGACGAATCCAGCTGTGCCATCGCCGGGGTCGGGCTGCCGACGACCAAACTCAACACCGCGCCCTCTGCACCACAACAACCCCAACGGGAGCCACAGACACCAAATCACACGGGAAGAGAAGCCCAGGGAGCCCAAGGACCGCCCGCATCTGGCACTTTCACTAGGAATACCCATCCACTTATGGTGACATCGGGCATCCGATCAGATGCTTATCTGAACATGGCAAGGAACGTCCTCGGTGGGGAGTGGACGCCAATTGGTCTGCTTTCCACCGTCGATCATCATACAGTGCCAGACAAGGACCTCGGAATGGTTTGAAGTCGAACCCTATGCCGAAATGCACGTACAACCCCGTATCGTGAGAGCATTGCTTCCAGCAAGATTTATGAAACTTTAATTGATACTATTCATGGTCGGACCTTGCTCATCGGTCGGCTACGCATTAAGACGATAGGACATATGGGTTACAACGCCGCTGCAGCACAGCCGGCTATGCTTGGTTCACACTTCAACGCGGGTACTTGAGTAGTTGTTCGCCATATTTATTGTTGTGGCCGCAACGCTCCAGCCTCCGACGCCCCCCATCTGCCGTGGATGTACTGCCGCAGGCTCTTTCCACAGAAAGCAAGCGGTAGAGCAACAGCTCCCACGAGCAGCAGAATGGCGCCATATTCGAAGCTGACACCCAGGTATCCCTGTGAATTAAGCCATGGCGCGATAGCGGAGCACGTCGCGAAGCTCAGCAGATATCCCGCTCCTCCGACGATGACCATAGCGGGTGCGGCCCAGCGAGGGAATGCCTCTGTGACCCAAAGGGTCGAGGCAATGCCGAAGGCCGCCGCACTGAAGGCGTTGAGGGCGTGGGACACGAAGATACAGATGAAGTTCCATTCGTAGTGAACGGCCAACCCGTACAAGAAGACACTTCCTGCACTGGCGAGGACGGGAGGGAAAAAGGCGATGAGGTAGTGCTCTGCGTCCCGGACTCCACCGTTTCTGAGCGTCAGGCGGCGAGCCACCCGCGACGTCAGGATGGCCGACACTGGCCAGGCAAGCAGCGAGCCGACGGCCGAGACGGGGTTGACCATGCAGATGACCCGCTCGGGGAGGCTATAGGGCGGCTGCGCCATGACGTCGGCATAGGTCTCACTGATGAGAAGCATGGCGCCGAAATTGAGGGCGTTGAGAACGGCGACCCAGAAGACGAGAGGGTTGCACGCGCAGAGCATCGTCTGGACGTAGCAGGTTCCCATCTCCCTGAAGCCCGCGCCGCGCTTCTGGACTCCCCATTTTCGAACAATGCTTTGCCACAATGTCTCGGGGGCGGGTTCGGGCCGCGCCGCGTTGTATGGCCCCTCACCGACTGTCTGTTCCCAGTCGTCGTATATCTGAATCTTCTCGGACCCACCTTGCACGAGAATGCGACCGTCGAAGGCAACGACCGGTCGGACAAAGTACGTCTCAGGGAGGAAGAAGAAGACGCATACGAGGACGGCCAAGCAGGGGATGGTCCAGGCAGAGTAGAAGCCCCTCCATCCAGAGGCGCCAAGGGCCGGTACGCTCATCAGAGACAAGAGGCCGCCGGAAGCGCTAAGGCTCCAAAACGCGCCGAGTGCGTGTGGGCGCTCATCGATGAAGGTGAGATCGATGACTACCAGCAGCGACTGCGATGCGTGTCAGTCTAATCTCTCAGAAGACATGGGACTTGCAGCAGCAACAACAACAACAACAACAACAACAACAACAACAACAACAAAAAAAACCAAAAGAAAACAAAAAACCGCCCCCATCACATACCGCGCTAAGGCCCAGTCCTGCCGAGAAGCCCTGCAAAGTCAAAGCTCCGAGAAGCTGGTAGAACCCCGAAGCCTTCGCCGCCAGAACAGTGGCCAAAGTCAGGCAGCACGACGCAAGCAAAAATACGGGCCGTCTTCCGACAGCCACCGACAGGGGAATCCACAGGAAAGCTCCGATGCCGAGAGAGAGTGTGCTCGGCGTTGAAACGAGTATGTTGATCGGGAAGTTATCGGTCTGCTTGGGGCAACGTTAGCCGCCATTTACCTACCCGTGATTGGTTCCGGGGCGGGCGTTACCTTGCCGTTAAATTCTGCAGCAAAAGAGGGATACATCAGACTGGCAGCTTGCGTCTCCATTACGGACACGATTGAATATAGTATGAGAACGCCCATGGCTATGAAGCGCCTAGGCAAGCCCCAGCTCAGAGGGTCGTATAGGGAATCGCTGGGCATGGGTAGCTTGAGCGTCTGGCCGTCGGACGTGATCAGGTAGACGCTGCCAGAAAGGTCGCCCGAGACGGGACGATGCACGGTACGACTGCTTTTGCTGCTGCTGCGGCTCATGATGCCGTAGAGGACAAAGCAGGGAGCGAAAAGGAGACTACGAGGAGGTTGAAGCGAGGGGACGCAGCTACTGCAGCAGGAAATGTCAAGCGAGCGTCGGCCGGTGTGCTGGCTAAGAACAACTCGTTGGAGTCCGCGGGATATTCCAATTGTCGGATGGTAGAGGACCTGGTCCTTTATCAAGGACCTCTGAGTCCCACCGAGGTGTGGTATACGGAGTCAGGACATGCAGGCGGCATTACAACTACATTGCAGCAAATGCGGTAACGCAGGGAAGGAGAGCAAAGAGTCGGCGGCTTCGCCGGCTTCGACAGCGACCATCAATTGACAATTTGGGGAGACTTCACAAAGTTTAATTGTTATACATCACGTGTGACAGGGCCCAGAGGAGCACACCCAAGGGAGCCCGGAGCAAGGCCGGTGATGTCTTGCTGGTTTGGCCCCCATGATCTGAAACTATCGCAGCTCTGCCGACGCCAAGATGCAAACGGTATAAAGACGGAGGGGGGTGGGCAGGTCTTGGGGAGAAACCGCCGGTCCGAAGACTTGCAACCGGGGGATGATGCTATTTATTGCAAATGTTTTCTCTTTTGCTGCCCAACAGGGGGGAAAAGGCTGGATGGGCGGACAGACATGGACGCCGAATCGACAAATTGGTCGACAAAGAGATATATGCTAGGCGGAGCCCTGGGCAGCGGGCCAAGTAAACAAACTACTCATGAACGTTTCAAGGGAAAGCTTAATGGCAAAACCTGGCGGGCCAAAGGTGGTCTCCGATGTGACGCTATTCTGCTGGCACAAACTCTATAGACACAACGTGGACATGGCAAACAAAATGAGGATCCCCACCGCCCATGGTTTGTTTGATTGCGGAGACGACGACCAGGTGCGGCGGGCTTGGGACCGGCCTGCATGGCCCCCTTCGGCACGATCCGGACCCTCGGCCTCATGCCCGGCGTCTGCGTGGTCTTCGTCGTCGTCGTCATTGTCGTCGTCGGCGGTAGCAGCGGCGGCGGAGTGTTTCTTGTAACAACTCATGTTTCGTCTAGGCTGGCAGGTGACACTACAGTATAGCCAATGTTGCTGTTCGTTTTTCTTTCCGGCGTGGTGGTGGGCTCGAATCAGACGAAACTTTTTTTGTTGTTCTTGCGCCGAAGGCTTCCCCTTGCGGCCTTTTTTTTTTTTTTTTTTTTCCCTTCCTTTTTCCTTTCCAGACCTGGTCGGTGACAGGACGTACGTCCCGAGGACTCTACCAGGCGAATGCAACTCACTCGTGATTTCTTGGCTAATTTGCTCGGAAAGCTGGGTGTTTCGCGAGAGGCTCTCAAGGGTTGTGGGTAAGAAGGGAGGGGATAAGGGTGTCGAGGAGCCATGAGTCCGGCGACTAGATTCGGATCCTCCGGCCGAAGCAGAGAATCGTTGGGTTTCAGGACGAGGACGCGTGGTTTTTGCCGTTGGCTCTTTCGTTTGGCGAACAAGTAGTCGCGGGCAGCGTTTGGCGTGGCGACGGCGGATCTCACCCGGCACATGGGTAAGAAGGTTGTTCATTTGGATATTTGGGACCTTGAGAGGGACCGCTCTGCAGATTCACCTTTGTACCGGTAATTTGGATATTTGGGATATTTGGATCCAAGGGGGGAGGGGGAGGGGGCAGGGGGTTGGACTCACCAGAGTGACTTGGCGCCGCTGCATATGTGACAGAGGGTGAGACAGAGAGAACAAGTACGGTAAGCCTGGTCTAACGCAACCCAAGCCGCGCGAGACGGCAGACGGGAGATGCTGCCCGTAAAGTCGGGTGGAAGATGCGTCCCCGTATTGGCGGACGGGGGGAGGGAGGGCTGCTGCCATCCCATCCCTCCTCTCTAGGCTGAGCTGGGCTAGGAGGCAGTAGTACGCCGAGCCTGGCCGCCGGAGTCTTTTCGCGGGATGGATGAATAGGAACGAAGGCCCGGGTATGCTCTACATAGGGGTGGTGGGTGTTCGTATAGAAGCCAGCTAGCTAGCCACGACCAGTTCCGCGTGCATGAGCGCGGGGCGAAACGCCGGCATCGAAGCCGGGAGGCAAGAAAAGCAAATCTCGATTCCGCTTGTGTCGAACAGCAGCAGCAGCAGCTTACTTTTACACCCGCCCCCCTGTGTCGAGCGAACCGCAGCAAGCCGCCTTCCGCCGTGGTCACATTCTGCTGCTTCACGCTACCGCCGTCAAGTGTGGGAGCAGCAAAGTGAGGCAATACCGTTGTATTGGCAATAACTGTAATGTGAAGCTAACTAGTAGTGGGCTGCCTGCAGTGGGCAGAGGCTGGCTGAGAAGGAGGTAGAGGTAGGTTATGTGACCTATAGGCTCCTCTACTAACACTCCCCCTTAGGCTCTGCTAGCCTACTTCTGTATATTATAACAATAGTGGCAAATAACTACCTAACCTTAAATCCTCTAAATCTAAGGAGTTTTTAAAGTATATAATAACTTTAGTAAAAGGCTAGTAATTTACTTATTAGTCTAGTAATAATTTATTTATACACTAATAAGCCTATGTAATCTATATAACCTATTATCTATATAGTCTATCTATATACCTATATAACCTATTAATCTAATTTATCTACTATACCTAGTAGTCTAATAAAATCCTTATGTTTATTTAGGGCTAGTGCCTTTATAAGGCTATTAGTAGCTATCTTAGTGTTATAAATAAGTTAAAGGGTAATATTCTTATAGGTGTAAACCTCTTAGATTATCTATTTATATTAGACATTAATACTTTAAGTTTATACTTTATTAAGGGGATTTATAATGTTAACTATTATGTTAGTACTGTTAGTAAAGAGGATAGTTAGAGTATTTAGTAGTTAGCTAAGGAGTTATTTAGTATAGTAATAAATCTACTTTATAGTAATTACTACTAGCGTAAAGTTAATAAACTTTACCTTAGTAAAGCTTAAAGTAATAAAGGTCTATTACTTAGACTTCTAGGCTACTAGTAAGCTAGTAAAGTAGATAATATAACTACCTATAGATACCTATAATAGGTAATTATTAGTAAAAGAAGTATTTACTATAGTATAGAGGCTAACGTTAGTAGAGGGGTTAAGTCTACTAAATAAGATACTATAATAAGTAGTACCTTTAAGGTAGTAAAAAAAGTACTTAATAGCTGCCTAATAAGTAGGTAATAGGCTAGTATTAGCCTAAGAAAGCTTACTAACTACAAAAGTAATATCTAGGTATATACTAGTAGCTAACTAGTTAAGGTAGCTAGTCTATTTAATATAGAGCTATTAGTTAGCTTTAGTGTAGTTATCCTTGCTCTAAGTAACAAGAAGGTCCTAGTTAGTAAGTAATAAGGTCTTAACTAGCTAGAGGTTAGTATAACTAAAGTAATAAAGTATACCCTTAGTATACTTATATTAATTAATATAAATCTTATTAGTAATAAACACTAGATCTAAAAGCTAAGAAACTAAGAGGCTTTACTAAGGTCCTTTAGTAAGTAGACCTTAGTAAGTATATTATATACCTTCTTAGTTATCTTAGTAGTAGGTATAGCTACTATATTATTATTAATATATATTAAGGCGTAGGTATTAAGGTCCTTGTTATAGAAGAGGTAGATCTCCCCTTAACTAGCTAAAAGCTAATCTTCTTTATTTTACCTTTAATAAGTATAAACTACTATAGTAGTAACTTATATAGACTATAGAGGGCCTTTTAGAGCAACTAGACCTTGTTATTAATAGTAGTATAACTAGTAGGTTATTTAATATAGACGTTAGTACTAGTAAGAATAAGGGCAGTAAAAAAGATAGTATTAAAGTTATATATCTTATACTTTAATCTATAAAGAGTAATAATAGTAAAAAAGAGGTAAATAGTAGTAGTAGTAGTTATAGCTATATATACCTCTTGTAATAACTAATTACCTTACTTAAAGTTACTATAGACTACTTATTAGGCCTTAAAGTGTATAATTTTATTATTTACGTTAGTTTTAATATTAAATACCTATTTACCTAGTAGCACTTTAGCTCTAGTTAAGGGGTTAACAAAGGTATACACCTCCTTATTATTAAACTACTAGATCTTAGTATTATAGGCCTATTTCTAATAGTACTAGTGTAGGCCTTTCTTTACCTTCTTAAAGGTAGTAAGTATATTATAACTAGTAGGTAGTACCTTTAATAATATAGCTACTATAAAGGTGCTAATAAAGTAACCTTAACTATCTTAGTATACTTAAATATTAGCTAAAAGATATACCTTCTTCTTATAGTTTTAGATACCTACTATCTTATAATAGTAACTAGGTAGCTTTACTACACTAGTATAATATAAATAACTAGTAGTAATATACTTAGTAGTAAATATAGTAGTAAAGGCCTTAATAATAAGGTCTAGCTTATCTTCCTTTATAATAAGAGAAAGGTAGTTAGCCTCCTATTAAATAACCTTATAAAACTTATTATTAGTAGAGGTATTATCTTATTTATCTAGTTATTTATTTATAGGCTATTTATTAGTAAGTAATAAGGTAAGTATAGTAGTATCCTCTAGGGGTAAAGTTATATAGGTAGTATTATTAATACACTTACTATTAATAGTGCTACTATTAGTTTAGTTAGCCTACTAGTTTTATAGAGTCTTAGCAACTAGTAGATAAGAATTAGGGACTTAGCTAGGAAACTAAATCTAGAGGTTAGGCTTATTAAAGAGTATATTATAGTTAGTATTTACTAGGATATTTATGTTAGCAATAGGGTAAAGAATAGTCTTCTTTTTCCTTTTATAAAAATAAATGTTATAGTAATAGATAACTTACTTCTAATTAGGGATATAGATATAGTAAATATAACTATATAAAGAGCTATAGCTAATAAGGTAACCTTTTATTACGTAGGGTTCTATTTTTATAGAACAAAGGGAGCACTTACTACCTTTCTTATGTATATATATAATATAACTAAAGGTGTAAAGGTATTTAATTTAAGGAGGTTCTTAGTTAATAGTAAGGTTAAGCTTATAGGTAATAATCTTATAAAGGCTTATTTTACCTTTAGTTAACTATAGTAGAAGGTTAAAGATCTACACTATAGTATTAAGTGTATAGTCCTAGAGATCCTCTAGTAAGCTATTATTAATAAGTAGAGTATAGGTAGCCTCTATAAGGGTGTAGCTAGTATATTTAATTACACTATTTATTAATAAAGTATAGGTAGTAGTTAAGTAAAGTTAAGTACCTTTAAAGAAAGGGTTATAAAGCACTTTCTTAAGCTTAGGTATATTATTATATATCTAACCTTTAATTAAGAGACCTATTATATTAGTAAATATAGCACTAAACTTCTTAATAGTATTAAGAATAACCTTATAGTAATAGGTTTTTAATAGAGTAAGCTAGTAATAACTACTATAATAGTTAAGAAAATAAAAAGTATATTATATACTAAGTTTAAAAAAGGTTTAACCTTAATAAGGTCTAGATAGATTTTTTTACTTACAAGGGTAAAAGGTAATAGAGTATTATAGCTAATAAGCTCTATAGATTTAGCTAAGTAGTAGGCTTTATAGTAAAAGTTATTAATCTCTATCTATATAAATTATATACTTACTTAATAGTAGGCCTTAATAACCTATAATAAATAAGCATAAATAAGTTAGTAATATATTATCTTAAGGGTTAGTTAGCACTTACTTTTAACTATAGCTAATCTAAGGGTAGTTACTATAGGTATAGTTAGGCTATTAGTTATATAAAGGATATAGACGTCTAAGATCTATTTAATAGTAGCTAAATAGGCCTTAGATTTAGTGTTAATAATACAAGTAGTAGTATAGTTATATTTAATGCCTACTTTATATAACTTACCTAGGCTAAGAAGGTTAGCTAGGCTAAGAGGGCTATACTTAATATCTTTAATAGTCTAGTTAATAGTCTAAGTTAGGTTAACTAGATCCTTTGTCTAGAAGAAAATAGTACTACTGCCCTCTAGATACACCTAATTACTGTTTACTATAGTAAAGGGTTAAAGGTTACTATAAACTATATAGAATATAAAGTAGGTTAATAAGTTAAATATAGGGTTAAAGTAGCCTAAATCTAGTATAATATTAGAGGTAGTAATAACTTTATTATTAATAGCTATATATACTATATAGCTAGGCTTTATAGCTAAGCTAGTAATAAAGAAGCTACTAAGAGCACCTAAGGCTCTCTTAATAAAAATAGAGGTTAATAATAAGTTAGATAATCCTTCTTTATAATCCTTATTATAGATATACTTAGTTATATAGGCAAGAAGGGTATTATAATAAGGATAATTAGTAAGAACTAGCTCTAGGTAAGTAGTCTAGCACTTTATAGTAGAGTAGTTTTTTTTATAATAAGGGTAAAAACTACTATAGGCAACGTTTTTAGTAAAAGTAGTGCCCTAGTTAGCACTAGAAGAGGTTACTATTAAATTAGTAGTGTTTTTATAGTATATAATAAGTCCTATTTTCTATTCCTTATCCTAGGCAAAAGTATAAATAGTCTTAATAACCTTTACCTAGGTAGGTGTCTTATTATTATTAGTGTAGTGCTTATAGGTATCTAGTAGTTACACCTTAAAGTAGTTAAGTATAAGAATAGCCTAATAGTAGTTAAAGTTTTTACTATAGAGGCTAGTAATATAGCTTTAGAGGTATTAAACCCTTATAAGGGTATTATAAAGGGTTTTATAGTCTTAGGTACTACCCTTGCTAAACTTATTAATAAAGGCAGTAATAGCATCTTTAGATACCTTAAGGATAAACTTCTTAAGTATTTTTATAAGAGTATATAGGTTACTATTATTAACTTATCCTATATTAAGGAGCTTAATAATTATAAGGTTATAAGTGCTAATAATAATACTATAGGTAGTATTATATTTATTCTCCTAATTCTTATACTTATTAGTATTAATTACTAGTTAAAGGACTTTATAGTTAATATATTTTTTAACTTTAGTAGTATAAAGTAATATATTAACTAGGACTTACTATTATAACTAGTTTAACTCCCCCTTTAGCTTAGGGATAAACTATATAACTATTTAGTAGTTAACCTTATTAGCTATAATAGTAGTTAATTACTTATATAAAAGAGGATAATGTAATATAGATAAGAGTCTCCCTTAGACTATAGGTAGCCTAATAATATATTAAACTTTATATATTTCCTTTATAGGATAAGGGGTATATCTAAATTATTATATAAATTACTACTTATTATTAGACGTCTAAGTAAGAGAGGATATAAGTAAAGGTAAAAGTAAAGTAAAAGCAACGTTTTAAGTTTATTACTTATTATTATTATAAGGCAACATAACTATAGTAGATAGGCAGTTAATAGTAATATAGGCAGTAACTATAACGTTTTATAGATATTACTATAGACTATTAAAAAAGCAAAAAAGAAAAGGCAAAGGCAGCTAATTAATTAATTATAAAGAAAATTAATTAGTATTAACCTAGGCCTTATAACCTATAGGAGCAGCAAAGTGAGGTAATACTGTTATATTAGCAATAACTGTGATGTAAAGCTAACTAGTAGTGGGCTGCCTACAGTAGGCAGAGGCTGGCCGAGAAGGAGGTGGAGGTGGGTCACGTGACCCATGGGCTCCTCCACCAACATCAAGCGTGCTTGATCCGGCGACCACTGCTACGTTGCGGATCATCCGTGCTTCGATAGGTGGGTTGGTTCTCCGAGGGGTTCTTGTTTAGATATCCCCCGTGTCAGAGGCGAAGCGAAGCCCGTCCAGGCTTGTCGACAAGACCGAGGACGTGTTGATTGCTTAAAGACGCTGGGAAGTAAACCTGCGTCACACACATACACACACACTGATGAACCCGTTACGTACTTTGCTATCTTGCACACAACCTTTCCTCTCTCTCTCTCTCAAAGGTATGATCCGGGCCTAAGCGAGGGCGTCCCAGTCCCTCTTGGTACTGCGGCGCGATGCACGCCGAAAGACAGGGTTTACGTTCGTATGAGCAGCACCTGGTCATACACTTTACATATCATGCAGTGCAGCTACGGACTCGGAGAGCCTCCCGACAATTAACCAGTGGAGATGAAGAAGGGGGAGAAATGCCTCCAGAGAGAAGAAGCGAAAGCCGCCGGGTGGTTTTCCCCACGTCTCGCCCAGGTTCCCCCACACCCATGTCACAGCGGCCACGGAGATATGGCATGGGGGCGGGCCCGTCTGGTCCTCTGCATCCACGAGAGGCGTTCGATCCACGGTTCATCGAACGATGTTTGTGGGAATGAGATGGCATCGTCTTGATTGGACAGGGGGACAGGGTGACAAAGGGTGGAGAGGCCCGGAGTAAGCGGCCTCTCTGGCCGAAGACTCCAAGGAACGAACCCCGGTCTCTGACCAGTCCGCGCGCAGGACGATAATGCGCATATTAGCCGCGGCGCGGATGGGCGGCCCGGCGGGCAGCAGCGCAGAAGGAGGTGGTGACGGGGGCCAGAACCACTCGATCTGCTCGTCTCGTCCGCGGCACCCCCCTCCCGTGCTATCCTGATTTCATCCACGAGGGGGGGAGGGGCACGATGCAGCGAGCAGCAGTCTAAACTATCTCGTGCCAAACATCCAGGCCCATGTACGGCCGGACGGCCGGCCCAGGCTGTTGGCTATGTCTCGTGTGCGGAACATGTATGTATGTTTGTAGATATGCGCGTGTGGGTGTGCGTCTTTCTATGGCTACCCCGGGCACCGTTTGGGTCTTGCTGCGGGCCATGCCTCCATGATAAAGGCGTCGTGATGCCCCCAGAGTATGCACACCGGGCCGAGTTGTTTTGATTTGGAAAGGTTTCTCAGGGAATTTGCAGAGCTCAGCACATACGCCGCCGCGCATACACACACACACACACACACGCACACATACATACACACACTCCTTGACGGACAACATTCCCTTCTTGGTGATAACAACAGAACGAGACGAGTGCAACAACACGCTACGGAAAGAAGCCACCAGCTCGTCTCGGCACTCTTCGTCCGTCACCATCTCTCTACCCCTTTGGGAAGGGTCACGAGGTGCCATTCCTCACTCGATTCGGACATTTTCCGCCGTCAAAGGAAGATCCCGACGAGGACCGGGCTAGACCCGCCCCTGTGTTCCTGCGCCGTCGCAACGCCCGCCCGCCCGCTCTTCGTCCGTGGTTCTGGTTCTTCGTGCTGGCAGAACCGGCTTTTTCCAATCATTTGGGGATACCGTCACGTCGGTAGCCTTGCCGGGTTCGGTGGTTGCGTCCACGCCATCACGAGACATCCCGGGAGGTATAAGAAGAGCATCACCAGAGACTAGCCAGGCTCGCGCATTGCTCGCGTCCCCCCCTCCCTCGGGTCTGGGGTCACGAATGGATCGACCAGTCAGCAAATAACAAAAAGGTGCATCCTCCGTCAGCCCGAATTCGACGGTCCATCCGACACAGCACGATAACGCAAGTCGGCCGAGCACCACTTGACCAGCAATTCTAACACTGACACTGCTCACACACACACACACACACACACACTACTGAGCATACGTAATCCACCCCCCCCCCCCTTGATCTCGAGACGCCGACAGCTCGGATGATCTTGGCCCGCTTGGCCTCTGGCCCCACTGAGGCGCCCCCCGCAAATGGGGAGGGCGGAAAAGGAGGAGGAGACGGGGATGTTAGTGGTGGAGGAGGAGGGGGAGGGCCGGTTGGAGTTGGGGTTGGGACAGTTGGAGATTCCGGGAACACAGTGATCCTGACCGGGCCAGCCAGTAGCAGGGCGAGTTCGAGCGCCTCGACACCGGCTGCCGCTACTCCGTCTGTCAAATCCCCCACGTCGGGCTTGGGGAGGAAGAGTCGCAGGGGCCTCGGGTCAGGTACGCGTACAGGGTCTAGCAGCAGCAGCAGCAGCAGCAGCAGTGGTGGCAGCGGTGGGAGTATAAGTGGTGGTGTTGGAGGAGGTGGTGGTGGAGGAGGAGGAGGAGGAGGAGGAGGAGGAGGACGCAGAACTTCATCCAGAGTTCTTAAGACGACCCCGCCGTCGTCCACCGCCGTGTCCCGGGCCACGTCCGTCTCCCCTACCTCAGCCCTCCTCACTCCTCCCCTCTCGACCGCGGCCACCACGGCTGCCACGACCCGATCGTCGACTTCGACTGCTGCTGCAGTGGCCGCCGCCGCCGCAAGCCGCAAGGTCTTCCCCAAGAGCATGGAGCCCCCCGTCGTCTCGTTTTACGGGGCCGAGCCCATCCCGCTGCCGTCGCGCTTCGCCGGCGTCAAGAAGCGGCTCATCGCCGGCCACGAGGCCGCCGTCGAGGCGTCGTGGCGCCGCTTGCTCGACGCCCTCCGGACCGAGATCGCCGACATCCAGGACCGCGGCTCCGAGCTCATCCCGTCCATCAACTTCACCGACATCAACGACCCCGTCCGCGTCGAGGCCTTCGCGCACAGGCTGCGGCGCTACGGCGTCGCCGTCATCCGCGGCGTCGTCTCGCCCGACGACGCGCGGAGCTGGGTCCAAGAGACGCACGAGTACCTCGACAAGAACCGCGAGTTCAAGCCGCCGGCGCTGCACGACCCGACCTGCATCGACCTCTTCTGGACGCCCGTCCAGGTGCGCGCGCGCGCGCACCCCAACATGCTGCGCGCACAAAAGTTCGCCATGTCCTTCTGGGAGTCGACCGACGACCTGCACATCACCCGCGCCCCCGTGAGCTACGCCGACCGCCTGCGCATCCACAACGACAAGCTCGGCGCCGTGGGCCAGCAGAGCGGCAACTCGGCCGCCGACTCGCTCAGCGCCACCGCGTCGTCGACCGTCATCGCCCAGATCGACAGCGGCAGCCTCGAACGGTGGGAGCCCGACGGCTACGGCCGCGGCGGCACCTACGAGGCCGTGTTCCGCGGCGACTGGGAGTCCTACGACCCGTGGGACCCGGCCGGCCGGGTCGGCGCCACGACCGACCTGTACAACGGCGAGGGCGCCTGCAGCGTGTTCCGCATGTTCCAGGGCATCCTGGCCCTCACAAAGGTCGAGCAGGGCATGGTGCGCGTGCTGCCGTCGCCCAAGCTGGTGGCCGCCTACTTCCTCCTGCGGCCCTTCTTCTCGCCCAAGCGCGGGCCGCCGGAGCAGCCGGACGGCGGCAAGGCGGACCAGTGGGCCGCGTACTTGGACGCGTCCAACTGGGCGCTCGACCCGGAGCCCGACACCATCATCCACGGCGCCGTGCCGGGCCACGCCCAGCGCCTCACCGAGCGCTGGCACCCGCACCTGCACCTGCGCCGGAGCCTGGTCTCTCTGCCCAGCCTCCAGGCGGGCGACTACGTCATCTGGCACTGCGACCAGGCCTACTCCATCATCACGGGCGGCACCAGGCTCGGCGTCCCGCAGGCGTTGCAGAACGAGTCGAACGAGCTGTCTCTGCTGACGTACACGCCCGTGTGTCCTCTGACGCAGACGAACGCGCTGTTCCTCGCCCGCCAGAGGAAAGCGTTCCAGACCGGCCAGCCGGGGCCGGACTTCGACACCCTCGGCGGGCTGGGCAGCGAGGCGTCGCACCAGGACCGTCCCGGCGCGCGAGAGGTCGAGGAGTACGGCGGCGTCGACGGGCTGCGCGCCATGGGCCTCGCGCCGTACGACGTCGAGCCGGCCGGCGCGCCGCCGCCCAAGCACGCGGACGCCATGGACGTCGACGGCGAGGACGACGAGGGCGTCAGGAACAGGACCAAGACGGAGGCGGAGACGGAGCTGCTGCGGCTGGCCAACATCATCCTCTTCCCCGGCCGCTACGACTTTTACATCCCGACCAGCGGCACGCGGGGCGGCGGCGGCGGCGACCGCACGCCCCGCGGCGTGGCGGGCGGGACGCCCAAGACGATGGTGAACGGGAGCAAGAGCTGACGGCGTTGGTTGAAGGGGCGGTGGCGGCGCGGCGGCCGGCGACGGGCGGACTCGCCGGGACAGCGGGCGGAGGGGGCGGAGGCCGTGGTCGAGACTGTGGACTGCAACAAGGGGAAGAGCGAGGACGTCATCACGGTCACGGTCACGGCGACGGAAGTCTAGGTTGCTATTTTTCTTACCATGATACCCTGCAATCAGGCAACCCTTCCATTAGAAGGTGGAAGGGAAGAGGGAGAGAGTGTGTGTGTGTGTGTGTGTGCGGAAGAGAGAGGGAGGGAGAGAAAACATGGGAACGCCGCCCCTTCAACGTGACGCTGGGAAGCAACTATTATTATGCGCCGAGACGGAGGACTCGAGAGATGAGGCATATCTGCTTAGGAGACACAGGTCGTGATTGCATATCCGTACATACGGTGGAGGCGGAACAACGCTAGATAATCGGCAGTAGACGAAACTCTGAAGTATTTATTTTGCATCAGTAGAGCCGATGGGGGGGGGGGGGGGGCGGGATCTGCATCTCGAGACCCCCTGGGCATCTCCCTCTCGCTCTTTTTTCCCCTTTACCACATTCGATTTCGTTTGCCTTTCGGCCGCGTCCACGAGACGCCCGCGGGGGGATCCTGTGACTACGACGGATTCGTCAGACCCAACCCGGGGGACGCGCGCGATCGAACTGCGTGGCGTCCGTTCCCATTCGGCGGCCGGGACCGGAGCCGGTCCACGCCCTGGAGAGGACCGGGACACGTTCCCGGTCAACCAACCGCCCAATCTGGTTGGCGGCGCACCGAGACCCTGGAACCGGGGCTCGTCTTCCCGCCTGGCGCCTGGCTCGCCCATCAAACCACGCTCTCCAGTGTTGAAATCAAGGATCGAATACCAGGAACCGGCAGGATATCTCGTATGATCTGGGTAGTCCCATGCATGCGCCGAGGTAGCTTGTCAAAACGCGCCCTTTGGCGCGAGACGGAGATATAAGCAGACTCGGGCTCCCTTGCTTGCAGTCGAATATCTTTGAGTCGCTGTCGACATGTGCCCCCTGCCTTGGAACACGCTGCCGTCGAATCCTTCTTAGCCGCTGGAGCAGAAACGGCGCGTACGTAATTCCCGCGGATCCTCATCGAGGCATCTCCACGCAAAACATGCACACGCTTTGTTTTAGCTCTCGGGGCTCAGTGTCTATATTTCGCATACGGCATTCCGGCCTGTCACTTATCTCTGCGTCCAACCCGCTGATTCGACCGGCCGAGCGCGCCCCTCTCGGCCTGGATCCTATCTTGGGGCGCATCGCCCCATCTACCGCAGCTAAAAGTACGTAATAAAACTCGTACAAAGGGAGGGAAAAAAAGAGGGCTCGCGCGGTGATAGCCATCTCCCCAGATGACAGGACAGGGCCCGTTAGTGCCTGAAACTCTCGCTCCAACCCCACCGTCTTCCGATGCCCTGTGTGGCCGTTCTCTCTCTCTCTCTCTCTCCCTCTCTCTGTGCTCCAGCCACTACTCTCCCGCTACCCAGGAACCCCTGCAGCCAGCGAGGCGGGCTGTCGTTGCGTTTCTCACGCATCAAGGCTTGGTACGACGCCGCCAGACCGCGCTGGGCCGGCTGGTCGGGGTTCTACTCGCTTTCTACTACTATGCAGCTTCTCCTGCGATGTCACCGCAAATCACACCCTCAGCCCATGCCCTTGCCAAGTCGTTGCCACAGTCTCTAGGAATGATAGAGAGAGAGAGAGAGAGAGGGAGAGACAGGCGGCTGCACGCACCATCTCGGCATGGCCGCTGGGGAAAGGGGGGGTAAGCCCGCGGTCAATGGCCGGCAGTAATAAGGGACGGAACTAAGCCTTAAGTTTTCGCCTCTCAGGGGGGCTGCCTGCTCAACCAACCACCATCGTGACGTCTATCGGCCAGTGTTCAAAGAGTCGAGGCTCTCGCCAATCACCAGACCCGAAGTCGGATGTTGCTTGACCCATGGCCAAGACGCCGGAAGCGAAATGGCGCGCTGTCGCTCCTGTTGCCGGCCGGCTGTCCACGACAGAGAACAAGAGCTGAGAGTAATAACGCTCGATGGCAAGCCGGGAGGAGGACACGGCCGAAAGAGTCTCACTCAGCCAACGCTTGATGCGTGAGCCGCCCAATCGACGTCCACCGGGGATTTTATCGATACCCTGGTCTCCGGTGTCCCGCCGAGTCCTTTTTTTTCCCCCCTTCCGGATCAGTGGCTATCGTCGGCAGTCATTCGCCTTTCGTTTTGCTATTACCCCAAAGCTTGAGGTGATTCTCTCGGACAGTAGCCTGCCCGCCGCCGCACAATCGCGTCAACGGACGGGGGAGGGGGAGAGGGGGCCCCCCTCGTGCGGTCTGTGGAATCGGGTATCCATCTTTGCATCGCCAGCGGACCCCTTTGACGACGCAACGCGGGAAAGTCGTTGTTGGATGGGACGCCTTGTTACCCGCGACGAGGCAAAACCCTTCGTCTTCGTTATCGTTGGCCTTGTTCGGCTCTGACGTTGCCCCGGCAGGGTTTGTCCTACCACCCCCGCGCGCCCACCATGTCAACCACAGCTGTCGCCCGTTGTTCCCCGGCCCTCTGCTTATCTCTGCGGGGCGCTCCTGGTAGTGCGGAATGGGGGTCCCGTTATTCAATCTTGTCTATCATTGTCCCCGAGTAAGTCGCATGCGTCGTGGCACGCTACTGATTTGCGTCTCCAAGGAACCGGGAGACGTCAGATGAAGGTTGCTATGCTAGTTTAACTAGGGTAGACAGTTGGTAGGGGGGTATTGCAGCTTCGGGGGGGGGTGTCCGGCCAGTGGGGCAGAAGTTCAGGGGGGGGTAAAGCCCTAAGCACCGTGTGGATTAAAAAAAACTAACTAAAGGATACTTAGCATATGCTAAGCATATGCTAAGTATATACTAATAAATATAGTGTCTACCTTCTATAAATATAGAGGACTTAGTAAGAAGACTTAGGTCTAAGTCCTCTATAGTTATAGAAGGTAAGTACTATATTTTAAAGTATATACTCAGCATATGCTTAGCATATCCTATTAAATATAGTAACTAGCCTCTATAACTATAGTAGACTTAGACCTAAGTCTTCTAACTAAGTCCTCTATATTTATAGAAGGTAGACACTATATCCATTAGTATATACTTAGCATATGCTCAGCATATGCTCAAGCTCTCGCACTTCTCACACTCTAAGCTAAGCCTAAATAAGCCTGATAACCCTAACCCTAGCTACTTTACCCCCCCCGAACTTTTTGGCCCCACAACGGATACCCCCCCCCGAAGCTGGAATACCCCCCTACCAACTGTTCTCCCGTTTAACTAAACCTGGCAGGGGAGGGGGGGGGAAGACGGGGGCCGCAGGGTAAGGTAGTAGAGTAGGTAGTAGTACCGTCGGGAACCGGGCAGAGGGGGGTTATACATGATCCAAACCCATCTATATAGAACAGATCATGTCCCTCGCTCACCCGGCCTGGTTAGTTGTCCTTGTCTTGTATCCCATCCGGTCTGATCGGCGATATCTCAGCGATACTTGCCGGCCTCGCTCAGCCAAAACCTCGCCCCGGACGACATTCGTTCCTGTACAAGTCGGACCCTCGGATCGAAACAGCCGCAACGCGACGTCGTCATCATGGCATCCGTGACGGAAGAAAAGACTGTCGGCCTTAGCCGTGCCGACAGCACCAACAGCAACAAGCTCGGCCAGGTCATGTCCGGCAACGGCGCTGCCGTCGCCCAGCAGTACGGCGAGACCCAGCGCGGCCTCAGCCCCCGTCACGTCCAGCTCATGGCCATTGGCGGTTCCATCGGCACCGGTCTCTGGGTGAGTTCCTCTCTTCCGAGCTCGGTTTGAAATTGGCAACGGCCCGGGAAGCTGACGGTTGTAAAGGTTGGCATCGGCGGTGTCCTCTCCAAGGCCGGCCCCCTCTCGCTCCTCCTCGGCTACACCTTCTGGGGACTCCTTTTCATCTGGCCCCTCAACCTGTCTGTCGCCGAGATGTGCGCCTACCTGCCCATCCGCGGCACCATCTTCGAACTCGCCTCCCGCTTTGTCGACCCTGCTCTCGGTTTTGCCATGGGATGGACGTATTTCTTTGCCGGTCTCATGCTGGTGTGCACAGAGTACAGCGCGGTGGCCACCGTCATCAGCTACTGGAACGCGGACATCAACCCGAGTGCCTGGATCGCCGTCGCCATGGTCTCGTGTGTCGCCGTCAACCTGATCGCCGTCAAGTACTACGGAGAGTCCGAGTTCATCATGGCCTCGACAAAGGTCGTCTTGCTCGTCGGCCTGTGCCTCATCACCCTCATCACCATGTCCGGCGGGAACCCGACCAAAGACGCGTACGGGTTCCGCAACTGGAGCGGCGGTAACCACATCCACGCCTACTTCACCGACGGCTCGACCGGACGCTTCCTCGGATTCTGGAAGGTCGTCATCTACGCCGCCTTCACCATCGCCGGCCCCGACATGATTGCCCTCGCCGCCGGCGAGATCCAGAACCCCCGCCGCACCATCCCCCGCGTCGCCAAGCTCATCTTCTACCGCCTCGTCGGCTTCTACGTCGTCGGCGTCCTCTGCGTCGGCATCATCTGCAGCTCGCGCGACCCCGGTCTGCTGGGCGCCATCGAGAACGGCGAGCCCGGCGCCGGCGCTTCGCCCTGGGTTATCGGCATCAAGAACCTGCACATCAAGGCCCTCCCCGACATCATCAACGCCTTCATCCTGCTTTCTGGATGGTAAGTTTCGCTCCGTTGAAAGACTAAAAAGATAAGAACGCGCAAAGGACGCTAACAGTCTACAAGGTCCTGCGGCAACGCCTACCTCTACTCCACGTCCCGCACTCTCTACGGTCTTGCTCGCGATGGCCAGGCCCCCAAGTTCCTGCTCAAGTGCACGTCCGCCGGCGTCCCCATCTACTGCGTCCTCGTCGTCACCCTCATCTCCTGCGTCACCTTCCTCGTCTCGTCCAACTCCGCCGTCGAGGTGTTCTTCTGGTTCGTCGACCTGACCACGACCGCCCTGATCATGACCTACACCTTCATGCTCATCACCTACATGGGCTTCTACCGCGCCCGCGTCGCCCAGAACTTCCCCCCCGAGACGCTGCCTTACCTCGCGCCCTGGAGCCCCTACTTCCCCGCCCTGGCGCTGCTCCTCGGCATCCTCGCCCTCATCTTTGTCGGCTTCGACAACTTCTACCCCTTCAGCGTGCGAGGCTTCATCACCTCCTACTTTGGTCTCATCTTCGGCGTCTTCACTTTTCTCGTCTGGAAGGTCTTGAAGAAGACCAAGTTTGTCCAGCCCAAGGAGGCCGACCTCATCAGCGGGAAGGCCGAGGTCGACGCCGAATGCCGCCACTGGGAGGAGGGTGGCATCGAGGAGGTGGAGAGGCAGAGACTGTCTCAGATGTCGGTTCTCCGGAGAACCTGGGAGAAGATGTGGTAAACGGCTTTTTGTGATTAGATGATACCTACTTTTGTTACCGTTACAATGACAACTGTTGTCAACTCAACCTAACCTTGAGTCTGCTTCCTGAACGAACTGCCTCGTCATCCAAAAGACATGCTCCTGTGACTCACCTCCCACACTCAAGCCAACTAACAATCAGTGCCCAGAGTCATATTGCTTTGGTGTTGGACACACCCTCGTCAGCGGTTCCAATGGATCCTTGAGATATTTGTCTAAATTACGTAAAACCCCAACTTCCCCGCCTCCTGTTGAGTATTTGCGGGGAAACCTGTGCCGGATGCTGAGTCGCGTTCCAGATGCAATTTCACCTCTTTTGGCACAGCTCCAGGTCGCCCAACCGGCTCTGAACGCCGGTTCAGGGATCATTTCTCCGTAACGTTGATGTCAGCCTTCAGTTATGCGGTCCACAAGGTACTCGACCTCTAGACAAAAGGCCTGCCAGCAGTGCGCCACCTCCAAGATCAAGTGCGACCGGAAAGCAAGGGCATGTTCCCGGTGTCAAAAACGGGGCCTTGCTTGCGCCTACGTCCAAAGCCAGGCGTCTCTTCCATCCAAACCGGGCACTGCCGGCATCTCCGACGGAGCCGAGTCCGAAGTCGCACTTGGCTCTGCGGCCACGGGCATCGCAACCGAAAGGGCAGACTTCCCGTCCCAAACAGCTCAACAGATCGCCTTTCACAGACTGGGCTTCTCCGAGGCACTCCAGTTTCCTTTAAACCCCGAGGGACCAGAAACAGCAACAGTAGAAGACGCTTCGACGCCGGGTACATGTCAAGCTCCTGTGCATCGACAGGGACAATCAGCTGCCAAAAGCGACATTCCAGCAGCGTCGAGTCCCCGTCGAGCAGGTGAGCTAGATTTCGCCTGTGTTGAGCTGACATGCCCCATCAACGCCGACGACATCGCCAACCGATGGTTGAACAGTTTCGTCCCTTTGCCAGGCCAGCAGACGAAAAACTACACCCCTCTCATATCAGCATTCATTCACAGGATTCTGAAGTCATACGCCAACTCCACTATTCGGGGCCGCAAAGTCCCGCCCTTTGTTCACTGGTCTCAAGTGAGCCTACAATCGAGCATCCCCCTTTCGACATGCGTTTCTGTCCTGCAGCAAGTATGCAACGAGTCGGCCACGAGGGGTCTCAAGGCTTCAGCTGAAATTCTGCAACACGAGATGACGAAACTCTTCGACCGACACCCGATGGCGGATGACATGGCTCTGCTCGCAACTTTTCAAGCACATTTGATCTACTCCCTGGTGCTATTTTTTCGACTCGGACAAGAACACTGCCCATTTCTACCGCAAGCCATGATGAACACACAGGAGCTGGCATGCGCAGCCGCAAGGAAAGGTCTGGTCTGTGTGGCTGAACAAGAGGGGACCCGTCCCACATGGGAGTCTTGGGTAGTAGCCGAGGCAAAACGGAGGACTCTCTTCACAATGTGTCTCTTTGACAGTGCCTTGCTTTCTCACGATGGACTCCCGACGCACCTCGCCACCGAGCTGCGTGGGTTGCTCGCACCGGCAAGTAAGTCTCTGTGGGAATCTCGAGACCGCCAGGACTGGCAAAACGAGTACGACCTTCGTCTAGCAGAGTGGCCGGATGGAGGCCTGCGCATAGACGAACTGTGGCCTGTGCCAGAAGACCTGGGCGAAGACGGACTCAACAAAAGGCGGAGTAGGATAGATGCATGGCTAGAGGACCTGGACGAGTTTGGAACGGCCATCTATGCAGTCACAAGCGGTACACACGGTACTTGAATCCTGGTTGGAGATTATCGACTGTTGGAGTCTTGATAAAAAAAAAAAAGCTCGTGTCCCAGCTACACATGTTGATCTTGTCACTCACTACTCAGATCAGACTATCATGATTGTCTCCTCATCGGCATTTGCGAACCAGTCCCTGCTTGGAAATTCCTCGGTGCGACAAAATCCAACGCGACGGAACTGATTCTTCTCGTCTGTTGGCTCCAGAAGCAATCCATGCCAGCGACTCGGCTCCATCAGTCTCCGTGCCACCTGTAGGTAGTGTAGAGGCCGCTCTTCTTTGCCGCTGTGATATTCTTCGTCGAAATATGCCACGCCGACCATCTCGTCGTTATAATTGAGAAAGTCGACGGCCAGTCCGTTTTGATATTTTGCAAACCACTTGTGGCCGGGGGTCGCGGGGTCGACACGCGAATCGGCAACCTTCAGCTTCCCTTTGAGCTTTATGTATCCAGACCGTAGCATCCCTCGTGGGTCTAGACCGAGGGGCGTCGTGTGGACATCGACAATGTCAATCATGATCTCCATCTCGTTCCCGTAGGGCACCATGGTCGCAATTTCTGGCATAAAGACACGGCCCTCCAAAGAAGCCCAGCTCCAACTTGGGGCACGATAGCCATCCCCGGGCTTGCGTAGCCACTGTTCGCTCCGGCGCCACAGCAAGCCGTAACCCAGGTGGAATTTCCACAGGCCCGCCACGTACTTCTGTCCCGTGCATTCTTCCATGGCTTTTGCGAGGCCAGAGAGGGCGGGTAGCCTGTCATGAGACTTCGTGATGCCTCTGCTGCTGTAAGCTGACACCATGTCATACCAGTCCCAGACAAAGTTGGGTCTGGAGCGGCTTTGAGAAAAGGGGTATGAGAAATGAAGACGCTCGTCCCACTCCACGTTTCGTGCAACGCTAAAGGCACCAACAGGAACTCCGTCCTCTGTTAGACGCGATTCCCGGCATTCCCACAGCAGTTGATCCGCATCGTAGTGGATCATCCGCGCTGACAGAAGACGTTCCTGTGTTACCCAGGCACGAACATGGAGGGCGCTCATCGGAAGGTGACTGAAATCTCGCGGGCGAGGCCGGACAAAGACCGAGGTCGGTCGTGGATCGCCCGAATTGCGCACAGTGAACCTGACCTTGACGTCTATAGACGTATTGCGAGGCATGAAGCAGCCGCCGGTCGAGTCTTTGGAAGCCGAAGCTGCGATCGTCAGGTAGGAAGACGCATAGATCGTGCCCATCTTGACGCTCTCCAGTTCCCAATCTTCAGTCGAGTCTTGGACGATGCAGAGCGAGTCGATCCAGATGTACTGGATGCCGAGTGACCTCGTGATAAGAACCGCATCTCGGAAGGTTTTGGGCAACGTTTCCAGCGGCAGCGCCCTGAGATGGTCTTCGATCGTTCTGCTCGTTGTGCGGATTACCGGGTGCGAACCCCAGCAGTGACTCAAAGTCGTGTAGCGACCGGCCGCTCCACCGGTGACAACCAGACGTGGCTCTCGATGTCCGTCGAGGCCGACGTCAACGACCCTCGTGGGCAGCGGGCAAGGATCTGAATGGCAGCCCTTGTGGTTCCTATCGCAAGACTTGACCCAGTCGCTCACAAGACCGATCTGCTCTCCTGGGGGCTTGATGGGTCTCCCGATGACCACGCCCTCCAATCCTGGTGTTCCCTCTTCGGGATAAAGACCGAAATAAGAGTAAGCCCTATGGCCGAGGCTGGCGCAACGAACTTTGACCCAGATTAGACCGCAAGGCAAGTAATCCTCATCCTGGTATTGGATCCCGCGTAGGATGACCCGTGAATCGGGGTCGCTCCAGGCCGACTCGTCGATACTAACTCCTTCGCCCTTGAGTTTGTCCGTGATAGAGTTGTATAAGAGTCGGCACAGGTCGCAAGATGAGGTGCCCTCCTTGAGTATGGCAACGGAGTCGTGGAGGACCATGTCTTGGAGTTCGTCGTCTTCGTCCAAGAGATCGCCGAGATCCAGGCGGCTGCAAGCTGTGCATAATGGCATATCGTTGGGTGGGATCGGCTACAGGCCACCGAGATGACTACGAAGGCACGTTGGCAATCGTCAGCTGAGGAGCTCGTTGGATTTTCCCACCGCGCCAACGTTACATGCTCGACCAAGCCTAAACCAATGAGATGCGAGTCAGCCGCTTATGCCAAGGGCAACTGTGTGCATCGGGTCGAAATCGTCAACACAGATCAGAACAGTCCACCAAGGTGCCCAAAGGCTCTTTTTAATAACCCTCGAGTTCATGTTAGAAAGTCAGACTCAATCGATAACGCATTCGCAAAACAGTTTTGTCGCATGACTGTTTACAACCAGATAGTGCGCATCTTTGCTGATTTGTACAGACGGCGGTATATTATGCCTACTAACGCAGTGGTTTCAAAGACTGAAAATCATTTCGTTATTCCGTTTGTACGTGTATTATTCCTCCATGCTCAATAGTCAGAGGGGGCAACTACATTCTGCTAGAGCACATCAGACGCATCTTCATAGGATCGCAAGACGACGACGTTACTAGGAAGATTCAAAAGCTGCTCAACGAAAATTGGAAAACGAACAAATGGCCTATGCGGCTTGGCTAGGCTCCTAAAAGCTCCCTAGCAATTGGAAAGCCGTCAATTAGTGTGCTTGGCAGCCGTGCACCGGAGCTGTTTCTCGGGTCCGGTTATGGTTGATAGTCCGGCGATAGGTTCCCGTGGTTCATCAACTTCTTCGCAACTCGTCTCGTGGTATCAGCCGTACCCTGTTTTGCTATATACTTTCGCTGCTAGAGGATCGATGGCATTGCAGAGGCTCTAGTGTATGGCTACTTTCTTTGCATTGAGACATATGTTTTGATCTGGGGTAGATACCATGCCCTACTAACACGTTGCATCCAAGTACGTTGCACGAGTCGCGCGAAGGCTAGGTACCTGAAAGACAAAGGCGCCGTTCAAGCGATGAGAGACACAGTCAATCAATCCATATTGGCAACGGGGCATGTCCAACTTTCGAATGCGACATGTTTGCCTCGACTTCGAATTGAAGAAACACAGCAGAATTGCAGTGCAAAACGGACTTGTAATGAACCTCTTGACGGACGATTCCCCCGTACATGCAGCGGTGGTTATCGACAACCTGCTTGCCCTTTGGCCAAGGCCCAAGCATCTCTGCTGGCCTCTCACCGTATCTTTTTCAAGTTTTCTCCATCTACGCAGCTAAAAGGAACCAGAAAGCAGTGATGACAAAAAGCGGAACCGTAATAGCTAATGCACATATATTACGACATAAGCAAATACGATCCGCTAAAAGAGGCGGTCAGTCTTCCGTGTAGACGCAAGCAGAGGAGCCCTCAACGTTCCCGTTGGGGAGGGGAGGGGGCACCAAAAAGGCACTTAATGGCCGTTCCGCGCTAATAATACTTGCCAGCCACTCTCCGGGGTTATACATGCATCGGGTGCAAAAGTTTCCGAGCAAGGAGAAGCATTGAATTGACAGCTTCTGCAGAACCGTTGAAAAAGGAAAATTTGTAGGGCCAGGCTTCGGTCCAATGGAACCACGGGGTAACTAAAAGCTTGGCTGCTGGTCGCGATGTCTGTCTGCGCGAGCTTGGTCGGTATGAAAGGAGGCCTCTATCACCGGGGGGGGGGGGGGCCTCCGACTTGCCGTGATGGATCTCGTCATCGGGGTAAACGCCAAACAACACAAGGTTGGAAGTGCAGACCTCGCGAAGCTCTTGGCCAGGCTGTGCATGTTAGAAACTGTCTTGTCGACTCCGTTATTTAATCGCCAAAGTGGCCTTAGGATAGCGTCATATGTTATAAACAGAAAGATTTTCACGCATAAACACAACACAGCACATGGCTTACAGCCAAGAGACCGACTGCTACACAACTCACCCGTTCTGCAACATAGAATCTTGCCCCTTGTGTCAAAGCGCGCGCCCACGGGAAAACGACGCGGGAGAGAAACAGGAGCTCACGTCCGCCCAACGGCCGCCGACGAGAGGCCGCACACGAGGTCGGAAACACACACTCACTCGACCGAGGCGGGAACTGCGCTCCCCTCAGATATGATGAATCAGAGGCAGGATCTCGCGGCGCGGCAATGACGGGGAAAGATTTGGCGAGGTTGTGATACTACGCAGCCGCCACACGTGTGCTCCCCTGACCTGGCATCCGAAGCTCTTGGTGTGTTTGCGGCGCCGGCGGCGCGATGACCAACCTTTCTTATTGCCCTCCGTCGAACGGGAGTCTGCACCCCCTCTTTCGTGTCTGACTTCTTGGCCTGTCTCCGGAGCCAAGGGAGAAGCAAGTCCCGCGCCATCTGGATTCCCAGCCTGTCAAATGCGTCTAAACCTTCCTCTTGGCAAAGGGACACTCGTCACATTCTGATGACCAGCCGCTTATTCTTTGCCCAAAAATCCCTCGTCCCCCCCCTGTCTCTGAACGGGTCTTTGCCAATCTTTGACTAGTCTAATCTTCCCTCGCTTCCGACTGCCTGTTTGCTTCGATCCTCACCTCACACCCACACCAAGAAGCTCTCCTTGATCGTCGTCGACCGACAGCTCCATGAAGCCTCTCTTAAACCGCCAAGCCTGCATCATGTGCTGTTCGGTCGTTTCCAAGGTCGGCTAGAATTACATCCCAGCGGGTCGTCTCCCCTCCCCCCACACACACATCCCATAATGCCTATTCGTTTAAGCTTGTCAGAACGGTTCCCGGGCCCAGTTTACCTCCCCCTCGGGCTTATCAGATGCCATTAGCGATTATGTCTTGAATCGTGGCAGTGCTGTTCTTGCCGGGGGTTCAGGTACTTTCTTCTTTGTCGCTCTTTCGGGGAGTGGAGAGCTATGATCGATATGGACATGGACATAGGTAGATGATGCTTGAGCTCCGAGTGAGCTGTAGGCGAAAGATGCCCTCCGAGCGAGTACTCATATCTAGGCACCGCTCCTTCGGCTCGTCTTGCTGCTGGGCTCGACAGCACTTTCTCCCATCTGCCAGTCCTGCACATGATTCTCCTTCATGATGGCAGACAACTTCCTCAGCCCCAACCCCACACATGCCGACGCCCGTTCGCGGGCGACCAGCGATGCAGACACCATCACTCCTGACGGGACGAACCCCTTTCTCACGCCGTCCGGAACGGCTGCCCCCAGCACTGTCGCCGGAAGCTCCGATCTTGAAGATGCGGAATCTGCCCTGCACCCGGACCCGGGCACCGAGGATGATTTCCGCGTCGACAACAACCCCTTCGCCTTTTCTCCCGGGCAGCTGAACAAGCTCCTCAACCCCAAGTCGCTCTCGGCGTTCCGGGCTCTTGGTGGCCTGCGGGGAATCGCCCGCGGAGTTCAAACCGATGTACGGAGCGGCCTCAGCGTTGACGAGACGGGTGTCGGATCCGCCATCAGCTTCGACGAGGCCGTCCAAGGTCACGCCGACAGCAAGCCGGCTTCTTCAGAAAAGCACATTCCCTCCTCCGCAACACCGTTTGTCGACCGGACCAGGGTTTACGGTCGCAATGCGCTTCCTCCAAAGAAACCCAAGTCCATTTGGAAGCTCATGTGGATCGCTTTCAACGAGACGGTCCTTATTCTCCTGACCGTTGCTGGGGTCATCTCCTTGGCACTTGGCTTATATCAAACCCTCGGCGTGGAAAGAGGCCCGGGAGCACCGGCGTCCGTCGAATGGGTCGAAGGCGTCGCGATCCTCGGGGCCGTCATCATCGTAGTCATCGTCGGTTCCCACAACGACTGGCAGAAGGAAAAGGCATTTGTCCGATTGAACACGAAGAAGGACAATCGCGAGGTCAAGGTTATCCGGTCCGGCAAATCGGTCATGGTCAACGTCAACGAAATCCTTGTGGGAGATGTCCTCCACCTCGAGCCTGGCGACATGGTCCCTGCAGACGGCATCTTGATCGAGGGCCATGAGGTCAAGTGCGACGAATCCTCGGCGACGGGAGAGTCCGACGTGCTCAAGAAGACTGCCGGCGATCAAGTCATGAAGCTCCTGGACTCGAAGCACGGCAACCATGATGATCTGGACCCCTTTATCATCTCCGGCTCAAAGGTTCTTGAAGGTGAGTCTGCGTTCGAATCCCCGGCGCCGTGGCTCCGCTGACCACTCAAGGCATGGGAACCTACCTTTGCACATCCGTCGGTGTTTACAGCAGCTTCGGCAAAATCATGATGTCGGTACGCTACGATATCGAGGCCACGCCTCTTCAGAAGAAGCTGGAACGGCTAGCCATCGCCATCGCCAAGCTTGGCGGGGGCGCGTCTGCCTTGATGTTCTTCATCCTGCTGTTCCGTTTCGTGGCCGGCCTTCCCGGAGACGACAGGCTGCCCGCGGACAAAGCATCGACCTTCATGGACTTGCTCGTGGTTGCTATCGCCATCATCGCCGTGGCGGTCCCTGAAGGCTTGCCGCTCGCTGTGACGCTGGCCTTGGCGTTTGCCACCACCAAGCTGCTGAAAGAGAACAACTTGGTTCGTGTGCTCAGAGCTTGCGAGACGATGGGTAACGCGACAACGATTTGCTCCGATAAGACAGGAACCCTGGTAAGACCGACCTTGTTCTGCTCGCCTTTTTTTGGAGCGATGGAGAAGCTTACAAGCACCCAGACAACGAACAAAATGACCGTCGTTGCTGGTACCTTTTCCACAAGCAGTTTCACGGCATTTGCGCAACCTGACAACGAAAAGTCTTCCGGTTCTTCTCCCCACGTGTCCGCTTGGGCAGCAGCTGTACCCCGAGCAACAAAGGAGCTCATCGTCCAGTCTGTTGCTGTAAACTCGACGGCTTTTGAGGGCCAGGAGGATGGCCAATCGACGTTCATCGGGTCCAAGACCGAGACAGCCCTCCTGCAGCTCGCCAGGGACCACCTCGGGCTCCAATCCCTTGCCGAGGCTCGCGCCAACGAGCAGGTTGTGCAGATGCTTCCGTTCGATTCGGGGAGGAAATGCATGGCGGCGGTCATCAAACTTCGGGACGCCTCCAGGGGCTACCGCCTGCTGGTCAAGGGTGCCTCCGAAATCATGCTCCGCCACTGCTCATCCAAGGCCGACCTCGAGACCTTGGCTGAGGAGCCTCTCACCTCCGCAGAGCAACAGTCGCTGGACGCGACTATTAACTCATACGCCCGTCGATCCCTCCGCACCATCGGCCTTGTGTACAAGGACTTCCCTCAATGGCCGCCCGCGGACATGCCCTCTGAAGATGGGCACGTGAAGCTCGAGTCGCTGTTGGACGCCTCCGACCTGGTCTTCCTTGGAATCGTTGGAATCCAGGATCCTGTGCGTGCTGGTGTCCCCGAAGCAGTACGAAAGGCACAGCATGCCGGAGTCACTGTCCGAATGGTTACAGGCGATAACATTGTCACGGCCCAAGCGATCGCGACCGAGTGTGGCATCTTCACAGGATCCCAGGGCGTGATTATGGAAGGGCCAACTTTCCGAAAGCTTTCCGACGAGGACATGAACGCCGTTCTCCCGAAGCTACAGGTCTTGGCCCGTTCATCCCCCGAGGACAAGCGCATTCTCGTCACGAGACTGAAGGCCCTCGGAGAGACGGTCGCCGTCACCGGAGACGGCACAAACGATGCCCCGGCTCTGAAGGCAGCAGACGTCGGCTTCTCCATGGGTGTTTCCGGCACCGAGGTCGCGAAAGAGGCCTCTGCTATTGTACTGATGGACGATAATTTTGCCTCGATCGTGACTGCACTCAAGTGGGGTCGTGCAGTCAACGATGCAGTACAGAAATTCCTGCAGGTGAGTCCATGTTGTTGAGCCGCGAAGGACCCGGTTCCTGTCATCTGGACTTTCCAGCCGTTGTCCAACCAAGAGACGAGTGACTGACTGGTGTACGAATGCAGTTTCAAATCACCGTAAATATCACAGCCGTTATACTGGCTTTCGTCACGGCCATGTACGACCCCCATATGGAGCCTGTCCTGAAAGCTCTCCAGTTGCTCTGGGTCAACCTTATCATGGACACGTTTGCAGCACTCGCGCTGGCAACGGATCCTCCAACTGACAAGATTCTCGACCGCCCGCCGCAGCGGAAAGACGCCCCGTTGATCACCGTTAACGTAAGTTACAACTTACCCCAGAGCACAGACAGCTTGACTGACATCTCGGATCTTAGATGTGGAAAATGATCATCGGACAGGCAATCTTCCAACTCATCATCACCCTCGTGCTCTACTTCGCAGGTCCCGAGATTCTGAACTACGACAGAAGCAGCGAGGATCAGATGCTGCAGCTCGACACGCTCATCTTCAACACGTTTGTGTGGATGCAAATCTTCAACGAGTTCAACAACAGACGGTTGGACAACAAGTTCAACGTGCTCGAGGGCGTCCATCGCAACCCGTTCTTCGTCTTCATCAACATCCTGATGGTCGGTTTGCAGGTCGGCATCGTCTTCGTAGGCGGACGTGTCTTCGAGATCAAGGAGGGCGGTCTCGACGGCACCCAGTGGGCGATTTCCATCGTCGTTGCTCTCATGTCCCTTCCCTGGGGTGTACTAGTCCGCATCTTCCCGGACGTCTGGTTCGAAAGGATAGCCGTCTTTGTTGGCAAGCCGTTTGTGGTGGTTTACAAGTTCCTCGTTAGGGTTCTCGGTCGGATCGGTGGGCTTTTCAAAAGAAGTTCGCGCAACAAGGCTGCAAACGGCGAAGAAGTGCCGGCTACGATTGTCGTTTCCCCGCCCAACGAGAAGCGGCAGTAAAACGGGTTTAGAAATACAGCCGAGTTTGTCGGCATGGGGTATAGGAACGGCAAGGACAGCAGGCGTTGACACACGATTGATCGATTACTGGCTTGATATGCGGCTCGATTTATACGGGCAACGGACGCAATATCGCGAGATGCTTTATAGAAATCAGGAATTTATATGTTACATTGAAGTTTCAGAAACTGCCCTGCATAACGTGAGCTTTGGCGACTAAAGAACCCAGCCCCATAGAGCATGCCGACTGGCACTACGAGGCTTTCGGCTGACATAGCCTAGCTCTCCTTTACAGTGAATACCTAAACTCCTTATTTTGGCCGTCGGTCATGTCACTGAACTCGATATCTTTCAAGTGTCCAAGCTCCTGGTTTTCCGCAAGTCTTTGACGTCGCTTGTTCTCCCAGACATAGTAAAATCTCAGCGTCAAGGTGAAGATAATGGCCAAGCAGCATGTGGCAATGATTGCAATTTTGGCAGGAAGGTATTCAGGGGCGGATTCGGCCGTGAAGGTTAGAGGCCCGATAATGTTGCCGATACAGAAGCAAACGAGCAGGGTGGCATTCATAGTGACCTGTAAGGCGTCAGTAATGGTCGACAGTCTTCTCCCACGGGTGCTTGCCTTCTTTGTATGCCCGGCATAGTTGGCGCCAACCAAGGAGTAGAGAAGAGGAAGTGACGCGCCAATGCAGTTCGTCATGTAGTTGCCGACAAGCCTGCCCGCCTTGTTGTCGGCGGGGAGGAAAGCCATGAGCGCGGCGCCGATAACTCCGGGGATAAGGAGGCAGGCGATGTTGATGGCCCGCTGGTTGAAACGGCCTGCAACGTTTGTTGCTGCCAGGATAGAAACAATACTGACTGCACCCGACGGGATGGACAACAACGCGGTCTCCTTGGAAGTGTACCCGAATCCCTTGATAATGGTGGCCTGATACGACGATATGGCGCCATTTGGAACGTTCGAGGCGATTGTAATAACTGCCAGGAGGTAGGTCTGCGGGTCCGTGAAGCACTCGATGAACTGTGGCCATTTGAAGTGCTTGTTCTCGACGCCTGTCTGGTTTCCTCGCAGACGCTCAATGGCCCAGACCTTTTCTTCCTGGGAGAGGAACCGAGCGCTCATGGGGTTATCGGGGAGAACGAGAACCACCGTGGCGCCAACGGCAATCGTGATCAGACCGCAGACGAGAAACATGATCTGCCAAGAAGTGAAGCTCGAGCTTGTATAGTGCTGGAAGCCGAAGGAGATCAGAGAGCCGACGATCACACCGCATCCTGTGCCGAGATACCAGATGCCCATCCGGGGAGGCTGTTCTTGTCGTTTGTACCACTACGTCATGCCATCAGTCGTTTGATCAGACCGCGAGACGATAGAGAGAGAGAAAAACAAAAAAAGGCTCTTACCATGGTCGTTATCACAATAAGCGAAGGTGCAACGGCACTTTCAAAGACACCGAGAAGGACTCTCGTCGCAACCAAGCCGGCCCAATCGTGACAAGCCGAGGTGGATGCCAGCACCGCACCCCATAAGCATACCATGATGCCGATATACTTGGCGGTGGGGAACCTCTGCATGCCCCAGGCGTGGGGAAACTCGAATGCCAGGTAGCTCACGTAGAAGATCATGGCCAGCTGCGAGTACTGGTCACCCTCGATGCTCGTGTCGGCCTGCAGGCCCATGACGTTGGCGTAGTTGATCAGGGTCTTGTCGAGGTACTGGAGAATGTAGCAGGCGAACATGAGCGGCACGATGCGCCAATCGATCTTGCGCTTCAGCGCTCGCTCGTCTTCGGCGGTCATTGGCCCGACGTCGCCGCCGTTCCGTAGGAAATCGAGGGCGGCATCGGCGTTGTGGATGTCCCTGACCTCGCCAACCAGCACTTCGGGCTGGCTGTCAACAGCCACAGGGGTCTTTTCGACGTCCGTCTTCTCGTTGGGAGGCATTTCGCAAACTTGGTCGGGCCTGATGGTATAGGCCGAGCTCGACGCTCTAACGATCGGGGAGGCGGTTATACTGAACCTCTTATGGCCGAGGCAAACGATAGCCCATGATCCATACCCGAAGACTGCCGTTGGTCTATGACGCATGTGCCACCGTAGAGCCGGGGTGAATGCGTGGATACAGTCGCATGTTCCCCGACATTCTCATTGATAAGTATGGGATGATCACCGCGAGCGTTGAGCTCTGGCCAATTGAGCATTGCAGCACTCCGTAGACCATCCCGTTGCAGGAAGGTGACTGGGGGGGGGGGGGGGGTAATAGGTTGGCCATCGGTAGTTGTTATCTCTGTACGGAAAAGAAGAAGCCGAAAGGCCAGAGGGCTGCCGATCACGCTGCGAGCCAACACTGCTCGTACATGATAGAGCCCTGCGACCTCCGCATAACGCATAAATGTCCGATAGCGATACTATTGCTTGAGAATTGGAGGGTTGACCGGCTATGCTCGGAGTTGTCAAGCGTGGGACGGAACGGCCAGATAAGGCCAGGCCGATGGCGGAGGAGTCTCCGATGATGGAGCTTGATTTGATATCACAGAAGGTTGCAATGTATGGAGGCGTCCGGCTGGTGTGAATGAGGGGGGTGACTGACGTCTCCAAGTGCTTATCTGACTGTGCCTATCTGAGTGTTCCAATGCAAGGCATGCTTCCGGATAAGACTCGATCCAGTACAGCTATATGATTCGTTGTTTATATCAACTGGGCTTCCTTGAGGAGCACCACCTAAACATAACAGGGGTCGTGCATGTATTGTTTAGGACTCGGTAATGGCAATAGAAAGCACATTTAGATCATACAAGCAACGGATCGGGTTGGAAATGTCATTTTCGTAACACGTCGCATCAGCCACCACTGTTATATAACTTTCACCAGTTGCTCAACTAGGCTTCCTATCACTTAACAGCTGGCCAAGGGCCGGTGGGTGGTGAACCTTGCAAACACCGAGTAATAAATATGATCCCCGGTAACAGCACAAGTTATCAATCTTGACTGTCACAACTTCAATACAGACTTGCCTAGCCTGTCATCCTTCCGCGCTTTGAGCTCCTTAGGATTAGGAAGAAACCTCTTAAGGGTATCTCGACATGTCACACTAGACCCAAGAAAGAATGAAGTCCAGCCATAAGTGATCCATAGCGGAGATAGACTTTACAATGCTCTTGCCGGTTGTTCGTGCGAGGAAGTCTAAGCCAAGAACGACTCAATGCTCCCGAAACCGAGTCGACAGGTAGTTTCCCCCCCCCGGACAAAATAACTTTTCGGCGGTTCAAGGCTAGACTCTAAAGTGGTACCCGGGACGCATCGTATCATTCACAATAACTGACAGGCGAGATGGGGCGGACGTGTGCCGGTTGTGGGAGGGAGCGCCAGCATGCCATCACAGAAACAGCCCCCTTGCCGTACGACACGGTACCTTCTTTCATTGAGAACATATAGCCTAAGACAGAAAGATGAGAGGGTGTGAGTGGAAAGTAAAACAAGAAAAAAAAAAAAAAAGAAGTGCGTCAATCGCTGACGGGAATCGAGCTCGGCGTGGCTGGCGTTTGTTAGCATCCTCGATCGCGGTTACTCGCAGTACGATATTTTCAACTTACGGGTCGAACCCACAACTTTGAGATTAAGAGTCTCACGCTCTACCGATCCGGTTGAGCTGGCCGGGCGGATCGAAACCGAATGGCTTGGCGTGTGAGTGTGTACTGGGGATTCCGCAAGCCGGGATCAGTCCAAGGACCTCCACACCCCTGATTCTCTTTCAGACGCGACGCGTTATGCCTCGATTCTCTTCTGTGACCGGCCCCAGGTAGGGTTTCTGTATGGGGTTTCGCTCCACGGCGGGGCCGGGCACACCGGAGTTGGTGGAGCGGACCGGATCCGTGGACGGTACGGACCGGAACGCCGGGGGGCCGAAGGGGCACAGAGGACCGACTGGGTGCTCTCTGGGTCCTCGTCTAGCGAGTGGGCGCATCCACTCTACGTAATAGTGGTCGTGAGGACAAGCATGCTGCCAGAAGCGAAGAGGAACCCGTTCTAGCTTTCGGCTGTGTTAGACCACCTTTAGCCAAGAGTAGTAGACTTATCATTATCAATCCTCGACCATTCAACCAGGTACTGCACCACAGAGCGTAAGAGGATAACTAACACGCGACGCACTGGATGAGGGGATTGGCCGTAAAGCATTTGATGACATAGGAGAATTCATTTTGTAGAGTATGTCTTGGCTATACACAATTTGCAGACCATTTGGTTCTGCCCTCTTGTCATCCATCCGTTTGAACCTCGCCGCTTCCCCTCCCCATCATATCGATACAGACTTTGAGTGAAACACAACCCTCGCCGCCATTACCACATCATCTCCGACATCCGTATCTCCCAACTGACGTTTAGTGTCCACCTCCTCTCGCCCTCTTCGCGCCCGCGCCTCCGCCGGCCTCGGAGTCACCTCTTGGCCTCTTGTTTCCGGGTTGGAAGTCGTTGGCGCCGGGGTTCAGAGAAGCATTGTTGCCCCCTCTGCCACCACGTCCTCCGCGTCCCGCCATGCCGCCCCTCTCTGCGCCACCGCTTGATACTCTGTTACCGGTGGCAAACGTGCCACCGCGGCCACGTCCAGCAGCGCCACCGCGTCCAGGCAGAGGGATGCCGCTACGTGGGGCTGCTTGGCCTTGGGTAGCAGGCTGCTGTTGCGCTTGGCCTTGCTGACCGGGTTGGCCGGCCTGCGCACCTTGAGTGCTCGAGGCAAAAGGATTCTGCTGCTGTTGCGCTTGGCCCCCTTGAGCGAAGGGGTTGCCTTGAGGTTGTGTACCGTTGGCAGCGCCGGCCGCAAACGGGTTCGCCGGAGCAGCATTGGCTGCTGCTGATGCTGCTGCTGCTGCTTTATTCTCGCCCCCGGGGACGGGGATTTGTCGTTTCTGCGGAAGGCCACTACCGGGTGGAGGAATACCGCTAGGTGCAGTGGCTGGCGGTGGAGCTTGGTTGGTGGATGCGTTGGGGGCAGCTTGGAAACAGTCAGAACTAGTCACCTGCCTCGCTTCGTCCTCTACGCAAGACTTACCATTCGGAGCGGCGCCAGCCTGAGCTGGCGGAGCGGAAGGGGCTGATACGGACGGGCGTTGTGCGGCAGGCTGTGCAGCAGGCTGAGCGTTGCCAGCGGGCTTCACCGGGCTTGTCTGCGGCGCTGCGGGAGCTGGCTTGGCAACCTTGGCCTCCTCCCACACCTCCCCGACGGGTCTTTGAGGCGTCTTGGCTGCTGCGGTAGCCACGACCTCGATCTTAGCGTTGGCGCTGCGGAGTTGGTTGTCCTTCATGTTGATCTGCAGCGCAGACTTCTTCTGAGCCAGCATCTGGCCCTCCTCCCGCGCGCTTGCGATCCTCTGCTCAAACTCGACCTTCAAGCTGGTTTCTGTCTCGCTCTTAACCTTTGCAGTTTGTTCTTCCAGCTTCTTCCTGAGATTGGACGACATGATGCTGCGTACTGTGGGGTTCGTGGAAAGGAACTTCCGGATCTCGGCGTCGGGGAGCTGAGACAGATCGGTTGACCCGGCGGCGGGTGTGCCGGTTGTTGGCGTTGCCGAAGTTGCTTCAGGGTCTTGTTGCTTGATTGGCGTCGCGGGTACGGCTGGCTGACCGTCCGCGGATTGGCCGGGAGCGGCGGGGGCGGCGGCTTGGTTCTCGGCCTTCCAGATGATCTTCTCCTGCTCCAACTTGGTCCTGAATTCCTCGTCCAGCTTCTCGCGAGACTGGCGGAGCTTCTCGTTCAAAGCGTTCCTCATCTTGTCTGACCGTTCCTTGATGGTCTGGGTAATGTTTGCCTCGAGCTCGTTCGCCTTGCGTTCGCACTCCGCAGCCTTGGCCTCGGCAGCAGCGACCTTGTCCTCCAAAGCCTTGCGCTCCTCGTCGGACAAGCCGTTTGTGCCGTTCGCAGGTGCTGCTGCGTTGTTGGCGTCGGTGGGCTCGGGTGCAGTTTGTTGCGTCTGTGACTGAGCAGCCTGTTGCGCGGTCTGGATAGCCTGGTCTCTCTCGGAGGTGACCGTCTGTAACTGTGCTCGGAGGTTTTCGAGCTCCTGCTCGGCGGTCGCCTTCTGTGCAGATACAGCATCCAGCTGGCTTCGCATCTCGTTCAGCTGCTGCTCCAGCTGGGCAACGACCTGTGTAGATACCGAGGTTGATGCATCCGTGGGGGGCTGGGCGCCTTGAGCACCAGGCTGCGCTTGCGCTGCCTGGGCATCCTGCTGAAGCTTCTGAACTTGTTGCTGGAAGCTTTGGATCTGTTGCTCAAACTCGGTACGCTGCTGCGTCGACGCTTGCAGTCTCTGCCTCGCCGATTCCAGTTCCGTATTGGCATTGTGGAGTTGCTGTTGAAGTTGGTCCTTCTCGGCCACAGCGGCATCCTTCTCAGCAACAGCCTCGTTCCGCCCCGTCATGGCATCGTTCTTCTCGCCGGTAAGCTTCCGTGATCGCTCCTTGAACTGCTCCGTCATACGCTGACGGGTGTTCTGCCAGTTGGCTCGCTCAGTCTCCAACAGCTGCTTGGCTTCCTCGATTTCGGCCCGCAGGGGAGCTTCGGACTCCTTGAGGGCGTCGCGCTCAGCCTGCAATTCATTGATGGTCTGTTTGAGCTGTTCCATTTCGGCAGGATCAACACGGCCGTACTTTGTGAGAATGCCTTCGGTCCGCTTCTGCCATCGGTCGCGATCCTCTTGGACTTGCTTGATTTCCTCCTCGAGGAAACCCTTCTGGGTCTGGAGTTCCTCAATCCGAGCCTCGAGTGGCTGCACCTTGGCCTCCAGCTCCTCGATCTTGGCGTTCTTCTCGGATATCTGTGTGCGCGCCTGAGCGAGCTCGTTGCGAAGCGTAGCGCTGCTCTCGCGGTAGAGATTGAGCTCGTTGAGCTTGTCCATCAGATCCTTGTGGGCGATGGATGCTTGGCCGCTCTCAGCTTGCGCGCGGCGTTCCTGATCAAGCTTGAGACGGGCTTCATCCAACTGGGATTGAGAATACTCCAGTTGTTGCTGGAGGCGCTTGGATTCTTGCACCTTGAGGTCGTACTGGACCTCCAAGATCTCCTTCTCGCGTCGGAGGTAGTTGTTGAGCTCGCGAAGGCCGTCGGCCGCGCTGTCGTTGCCGGTTTCTGCATTGTTGCCAGCATCTTCGGCAGACGTGTTGCGGCCCTCCTTGAGTGCGGAGAACTGCTTGGTGATGCTTTCCAGTTGCTCGTGCAGCAGCTTGTTTTGGGCGTTGACGTCGTCACGGCGCGTTTTGATTTCCGACATCTCCTGCTCCAGTCGCTGCCTCCTCTCCTCCCAGGAACTCTCACTCTGAGATAGAGCGACCTTGGCGGACTCGGCCTCGGCCCGCAGCGTTGCAGATTGGCTTTTCAGCTCGTTGTATTCGGTGCGCAACTGTTGGACGAGCTTGGCAGCTTCGGCATGCTTGACGAGCTCGTGTTCGTAGTCTTGCTGGGCCTTGGCCGTGATCTCGGATTGAGCACGGAGGTCCTGTTGGTGGAACTTGGCGGCCTCGGCGTGGCGCTCCGCCTCTTCCTTCAACCGCTTGATCTCCTCGTCCAGGATTGTCTTCTCATCCTCGTACTTGCGGGCAACCTCGGCCTGGGAGTCGCGCAGGTGGGACAACTCCTTGTTGGAGCTCGCCAGCTCGGTGGACAAGTCCTCGACACGCTGCTCGAGCTCCTTGATCTTGGCGTCCTTGCTCGTGAGAGCGGCCTCCATCTCCTCCCTGTACTGTTCCTGAGAGGCAGTGAACTCGGACAGAGCTTCCTCGTTCTGCTCGCTGAGCTGCTTGTACTGCTCAGTCTGCTCCTTGGCATTTTCGAGCTGAGACTTGGCGATGTCGAGCTCTCTCTTGAGGTCGGATACCTCGTTGATGAGCTCGCGCACCTCGGCCTCGGTTTCTTGATCGGTCTGGGTGGGAGGCGCCATGGTGCCGGGGCGGGGCGTAGGCCTGGGTGCGAGGCGGCCAGCCCGCTCTTCGGCATTGCGGAGCTCGATAGTGAGCTCATCAACCCGCGCTTGGAGATGGTCACGGCTGGTTTTGACGGCGACGTGCTCCTCCCGAATTTGGCTGAGGCTGTTGGAGAGTTCGTCGATTCGCTTCTGCGATTCGCGTGCGTCGAACTCCTTCCTAAGCTGTAGCTTCTTCCCCTCCTCCATCTCGTCGGACAACTTCCGCTTCGTGCTGCTGAGTTCTTGCTCAAGCGTGTCAATCTTTGACTGAGCCTTTCGTCTGTGTTCCGACTCGGAAATATCGCGCTCGTTCAGCATCGACTGCTGGCTGGCCAGGAGGTTGTTGAGTCGTGTCTTCTCCTGCATGAGGTTCTCGTTGTCTTGGTTAAGGCGGTCTTGGATGTCCTTCCACAGTTTCTTTTCGGCTTTGAGGTTCGCGGCCTCGTTGCGGACACTCTCGAGCAAGCCCTTGGCGTCGATGAGCTCTTCGGCGACCTGCTGGGTTCGGATTTCGTGCTTGATGGAGTCCTCGGACAGCGACTGGTTGCGCTTCTGAAGCTCCTTGTTCTCGCTCTGGAGCGCGACGAAGTTGGAGTGAAGCATTTCGTAGCGTTCGGAAGCGAGAGTGATCTGACTGGAAATCTTGGCAACCTCGCCCTGAAGGGAGTTCTTCTCGCTCGAGAGCCTGTCAATCTGCTCGCGCAATGATCGGCGGACGGACTCCTCGTCGTTACGGTATGTGTCGAACTCGACCTGCAGTGCGCGGAGGGCGTCGTGGGGCGACACATCGCCAGCCTCCCCGTTCTCGATGCTAGCGAGCGGCAGGCGCTGCCCGTCATCGGAGCCGAGGATGGATGCGAGCTCGCCAGCGGTGGCCTTTTGCTGGAGGAGGCGTCTGAACATGTCACGCTCGGCCTTGAAGCTCTCCATTGTCGTTCTCAGGGACTTGGTCTCGTCGATCATGTTGGCGAGTTCCTGCTGCAGGCGCTCGACGGCCTGGTGGTCCTCTACAGCCTGGCTCTTGGCGGCAACCGCCTCTTCGCTTTCCATCTGCTCCGCCAGCTCCCGGGTGACCCTCAGAAGCTCTTGGTTCTTTGCCTGAAGCTCTTGGATGTCCTTGAAGACAACAAACTTCTGGGTGATGAACTGGTGGGTGTCGGACATGTCGGCGAGAGCGCCCTCAGTGACCTCGCCTCGAGACAGCTGCTCCAGGCGGATCGTTTCTTCGCGGCTGAGCTGCTCCAGGCCCTTTTCGCGCGCGTGCATGTTGAAGACTAGCATCTGGATCTGGGTGCTGAGATCGCGAATCTGGGTACGGAGGATCTTGGACTCGGCCTGGGCGTTGGCCAGGGCACCCTCGGCCTTCCTTGCACTCTTCTTTGCAACATCGCGCTCCTCGAAGCTCGTCTGGGAAAGCTCGGACATCCTGGTGATCTCGGCGCGCAGCGTGTCGGCTTCGTTTTGGAGTTCCTCGATCTCGGGTGTCTTGGCCTCCAAAAGGGCAATCATGTTGTCGAGCTCCTCGGCGAGCTGCTGGTTGCGTCTCTTCTCTCCGGCGAGCTGCCCCTTGACCTTGTAGAGCTCGTCGATGGCCTGGGTTGCCGTGATGGCTGACTTGCTTCGTGCAGAGGCGGGTGTGGCGAAAGGAGAGGCAGGTCTGCCGAGGAACGAGCCGTTCATGCGCGGCGTCTGCGGGGTGGGTGTCGAGCCACGAGGGGGAGCCTGCTCCATGCGGACATGGAGTTCGTCAAGCTCGGCCTCGAGTTGGGCGACTCTCTCCTCGAGAGCACGGCAGTTCTCCCTCTCCCTTTCGAGCTCTTGTTGGAGACGTCTGACTTCGTTTGCATGCTTTTCCTTGAGTGCTTCCTTCTCCCCCTCCAGGGTCTGAACACGGGCCTTGTGGCTGTCGGCCAGTTGGTTGGTCATGTCGACGACGCGCTGCTTGCTCTCAATCTCGTGCTTGTAGCTCTCCTCGCTGCGCGCAAAGGCTTCCTGCTGCTGCTGGACCTTGGTGAGAGCCTCCTCGGCCTTGGCCTGGGCAGCACTGAGACGGTCTCGGAGTTGTTGTTCGGTTCGCTTCATGGACTCAATGGTGGACTTGGCGTCTTCGTTTTGTCGTTGCAGCTCGGCGATGCGCGCTCCCTTTTCGCGGCGGTATTTGAGGGCCTCCTCGCTCTTGGTCTTGAGCTCAGTCTCGAACCACTCGCTATTGCGCCGGGCCAAGTCGAGTTGCTGCTGAAGTGACTCCTCGCGGTATTTGGAGCTGCTGACGGCGGCCTGGGCTGACTGGACGGCCTGTTGCAGAGAGGTGATCTCCTTCTGTAGCTGGACGTTCTTCTGGTGTTGTTTGGCCAGCTCCTCGGAGAGCTCCGAGTCGCGGGCGTTGCGCGACTCGAGCAGGACCATGTTTGCGCGGTTGGACGATTGCAAGGACTCGACTCGGTCGCGGAGGGTGGTGAGCTCAGAGTCGTGGTCTGATCCACGGGCCTTGAGCGACTGAAGCTCATTCTCGACCGTTTGCCGCTTCGTCTCTGTAGAATAAGAGTTAACAGGGCGTCCAGCATTCAGACCTACATACGTAGTCAATGGCGCATGGCCAACGCACCTTCTTCCTTTAGCTTTTGACGGACTTCCTCGACGTCCTTCAGTGCCTTGTCGGCAGTGGCCTTGAAGGACTGGCATCTGGACTCTGCGCTGTGGTGGGCACTCTCGAGTTCGATGTCGACCTGAAGTTTCTGGGCGTAAAGCTCGTCATGCTCGCGGGCTTTCGCAATGACGGCTTCAAGGAGGCTTGCGACAAGCTCGGGGGTTGGATCGGTGGTGGCTGTCGAAACCGTGGATTCGGGCACGCCAAGGTGGCCGGCCACATAGGCTACATCCACCGCCGCTGCCATTGTGATTGTAGTTCAAGGTCTGGTTGTCGACATCGAAAGAGAGTGTCTCGAGATCGTTGGTAGCCGATGGGGAGTTGTTTGTTGGTTTGCGCGTCGAAGACACACACACACACACTCCTCGCTAGTCGGAAGAGGCTGAAGCAGACAAAAACAAACACAGAACCAAGTCAGTGTCAAAGGTGAGGACGTCAATAGTTGAAGCCCTCGTCTACAGTTGAGAAATCAACCTCGGACCGCCTGGTAGGCTGAGGCGGGAGACGCGGTGGAAAGGCGCGGCGACGACGAATTTGTCGTTGGGTGTGAATTTGGCGGTTTAGCGTCAACAGGAAACAAATCGCAGGATTTTGGGAGGAAAGCGCGACCTGGAGGATGTTTTCCAGGCCAGCACAGCACCACAGTGCACAGTGCATAGTGGATCCCTCGAAGGCCGGGGAAGGAAGGCATGGGCGACAAAGCCGTGTTTTGGCCAATTGGAAGGGGGGAAGGGGCGCTTCAAACTACAGGTACACCCGTCACCGACAATCAGCCGGCTGACTCATCGAGAGCTTCTGCCACCAAGTGGGGCTCAGGGTACAGGTATTGTACGGATACAGGCAGGTACAGCTGGGCTCGCTTACCGAGACACACCGGTGCACACCGAGTACGTACTGCTAGGCACCGCCACACCTCAATACACAGTCATGCCTCTATACACCGCCACATCTCCATCGTACGTAGTCCGTCGTGAGAAGTTCCAAGACGCAATCCCGGCACATTATCACTTTCAACACAAACGATCCACCATCTTTATTCCACTGAAGCAATCCAAGTGCGGTCTACGATACAACTTCTAACCTGGTTCACGAATCTCTTGGTATCCTACCGAAACTGCCATCACAACGTCTTGCAAACCCCATTCATCAACGCATCAAGCCAAGGTCGCCGCCTACAGAGTACTGCATCGTCTCACCTATGTTGTCATCTACGTTGCTGACCCGCGTCCATTTCCGAGTATCCCGGCATCGGCCCAGCGTGCCATCCCATCCCCTGCAGCTCTGCCCGTTGCTGTTGCTGTTGCTGTCCCGGTACCTGGTACACTGGCTGCGGCCCGCCCGGCATCTGGTGAATTGGCTGGCTGTGCGCCTCAGCCACCGTTGAACCTCCCTGTGGCTGCGAGTATCCCCCTTGGACATAATGCGCCTGTCCATGTTGCCCTTGCAGCTCAGCCGGCATATACTGACCGGAAGACTGGAACTGGTTGTTGCTGCTGGCCGGCATCTCGTGTGGTAATCGCCCCTGGCCGTGGAGTTCCGCGCCCAGCGGCGCCGGTGGCGGCGGCGGCGGGGGGAACATGCTGTTGGGAGTGGCGACAGGAGATACCGTGTCCGGCCGGGGAGACCCCGTGTAGGAGACGCTCATCTGGGGGTTCTTTGGCGGCAGTGTCGACAACATCGTGCCGCCCAGCTCGGGGGGACTGTTCATCTCGAGCGGGCCGGTGGTTGAGGTTATGGGGAACCTCGCATGCGTCGTCTTCCTGCGACGGTAGATCATGAACCCAACGAGACCGGCGATGGACAAGCCGCCAATCACCGCAACGACCCCGCCTACGATAGCAGCAAGGCCGGGCCCCCCAGAGCTTGTGTCGTTATTATCAGCACCACCGCCGGCAGCACTTGAGCTTGTACTGGTGGGTTGAGACCGGGAAGCGTCAGATCCAGTACCAGCCTTCGCCGTTGCGTAAGTTTGGGCAACTAAAGTCGAACCTGCGTCAGCAAAACCGCTTCACAACTATGGCGATAATCCGATCCGGTTTCCTTACCAGACTCGCGAACAGTCGCGACCACCTCGTTCCTGGCAGCCTTGCAGTAAAAGTCCAAGACTGCCAGAGCAGAAGAAACATCATCCGAAGCCGTGGAAGAGCAGTAATATTTGACGTTGGACGTCATGGTGCTCGTCACCAGGTTCGTGACGCCGTCCTTCAGGCAGATGCACGACGCCAGCGCCTGGGGCCCTTCCGGGCACTGGTAGCTCGTGATGGAGTACATGGCGTTCGATATGCCAGACTGCGCGCAAGGGGCCAGCGCGCTATACTGGGTCAGGGCAGTCATGTAGTATGTCATGTCCCCGGGAGGCGGCGACGGCTGGGGGAACGCAGTGGTGCCCTTGTTCATGGCGCAGTACGCGTCGTAAAACGCGAGACCAGACGTCACGTCCGCCGCGTTGGAGCACGAGTACCGGACGAGCGACGCAACGGACCGGCTCACGCGCGCCGAGTTATCGTTTCGGGTGCAGATGCACGGCGCCATGAGGCTCGCCGGCTCGGGGCAGAGCGAGGTCATGGAGCTGAGCGCGTACGAAACGCCCGACTGGGCGCACGGCGCCATGTTGCTGAACTCGGCAATGTCGGTGGCGTACTTCGTGACGATATTGGTCGTCGGCGTCGCGAAGGCGACCGTCGCGTCCGGGTTGCAGTACTGGCTGAGGACGGCCGCGGCGCTGGTCTGGTCCTCGGAGGCCGTGGAGCCGCAGCTGTAGCTGATGGGCTTGGAGACGGACGTCGACACGGCCGCGAGGTTGTTGTTCTTCGTGCAGATGCATGACTGCAGATCGGTCGGCGCCTCACCGCAAGCCGAATAGGTTTGGGTGAAGATGTTGTAAGAGAGGGCCGTCTGCGCGCATGGCGCCTGGGATCATGGGTCAGTATGTCCGAGTAACTGAGCCCGTCACCAGTTCGCCAACGAGTGAAAGAAAAGGCACGAAAGGACCTACCAGCAGAGTGTATATGGATAGATCGGTAACGTATACGATACTCGCAGCAGCAGCAGCCGCAAGACGGCTCACGACAATTGTCGTCCAAAGATAGACCGATATCCGCGCCATCGTCACGATCGGACGGAGCCGCGAATCAAGGGACGAGAAGGAATGGTATGACGACAACCGACGGAGATCACAAAGGACAGGACGAACCCACCGACCAGGATGGCAAAAAACAAGAGATGGGGAGAGAGAGACAAATCTCAGAAGATTGATTCGACATGGGACGGGGGCGGGGGAAGCAACGTTTTGCCAGGTGCCCAACGCCACAACACTCTCCTTTGACTCTCCACGAGCAAGCTAGTCCCGCATCGTGAGCAGGAAGAAGTGGCGGTTTGGAGGTTAATCACCACCCTCTGCGGCACTGAACCACCCCCTGCCGCGATGGCGCCAAAGTAGCGCAGACCCCTGACAGCTGAACCTCTGGGCTGAAAGCCCGTCTCTTAGGTGAAGTGTGGACCTGCGTGTCGAAGCCCCCCGACATTGGCTTTCATAGACTGGGCAACTGGGTGTTTTTTATCAAGAACCAAGACTCTCTCAGCGAGAACACCCTGCTCGTGGAGAGGCGGCCAGAAGAGGGGGTTTCTCGGGACAGAACGGGCATCAGAAGCGCGTCGTTGACCGTTGGGAATGGGGGCAGCGGCCGTGTCTCGCGCGTGGGCCTTAGTCATAGCCGCCAAGGCGTCTGGCAGTTAAGGACACCAGTTCGGCTCAGCCCAGGTGAACCAGCCTAGCGTCGAGCCAGCTTGACTGGCGCAGATATGGCTGGCATACTCTTTCTTCCGGCGGCCTCAGCACCGTATGTCCAAGTATAGAAGACTCGATGTGGGCAGATCAAGATTCCAAAGCACGATGACTGGTGATGTGGGGGTTTTTTTTTTCATTCGTTTCTTTTTCTGGTACCATCGCGGCGTTTGTCGCTGTCACGACTTCACGCCGTGCTTCCGCCACCAATCCCCCGACCTTTGCTTGAATGACTTAGGCGGCGGCAGACGCCACGGGCCGGGGGATGAAGCATGGCATGCGTTCACGGGCGCTATCTGACTTGGTTGGCGTGCCAGGGACACTACTACTCGACCAGCCGCTTATTGGGCTAGGCGAGTGCCTTGAACGGCACAAGGCCTTCGGCGATCTGGTGTGAGGCTGCGACAGCCGACAGAGAGCGGAGTAACGAAGCATCGCGCCTTTTGCAATGACACGATGGAAACCTGCCCCGGAATGGCCCCGGCTAAGTGCCGAGGTCCGGTACGGATGGATGGGTACCCGGAGCGGATACGGATACCCGGAACGGATCATGACCACGGCGGCTGGATGCTAACCATCATCATTATAAATGAATCATCTCATTATAAATGAACCATCCCAGCATCCACTACGCTTGGTCGCTCCAGACTCTCAGCTTCACTTTGTCACTTTGTCACTCGACTTTGCACAAATACCCGGCCCGATCCCAGTACACGTCGCGGGTGCAGATGGCGAGAAACTCAGAATCGATTAGTCAAGCGTTCTGCCCTGGCGAGCTCATCCAGGTGCCTCGCCTCAGTTCGACGTCGATAAGCGTGTAATGGTTCGTTCCAAACTCCATTGCCTCATCCGTCATGGTATCATTCTCTGGTATCAATCTTCCATCAAGGGACCGCCACACTGCATAAAACCCACCTCCAAAAACCACGCCACCTCGAATCTTCGCTGTTCCGAACGCGTCTCGCCGAGGGCCACCCCCCCGTAAGTTACCCAGTCACCCGGCTGACCCCATTGCCTCCGTACCCGGTTGCGAGACCTTCTCCAAACTTTGTAAGGGTCTTGTTCATCTTGACGGAGAGCCGTCTCGAGATGCTGTCCCGCTTTCTTTCCCTGGACCCGAGCTCGTCTTCTCCGCGGTCGTCTTCGTACTCGTCGTCCGACATGGCGCTGTCGTCATCGCCGCCGTCGTCGTCGTCATCGTCGTTCTTGGGCCGTGGGACCGCCCTGCTCCCGCAGGTGGTGCAAATGACTTGGTGCGGTCGCACCAGCTGCACATCGCTCTTCCGTCGCCGGCGCGCCGTATTAGTGGACACGTGCGTTGGAGCCGTCCCCGGTCTGGAGCGGACGGTGATGGCATCGCCGTCCGTGGCTCGTCTCCTCATCGACCTCGCCCGTCGGGCAGCGACCTCCTCTGCGGTGGTTTTGCTCATCGCAGCCGGCGAAGTCGCGGCCTTGGCCAGGCCGTTACTTGCGGGAGCTGCCTTGCTTACCTGTAAATCGTCTCCGCGTGCCGCAATGTCGCGGGCCAGCTCGGACCAGAGGGCGTACCCGATCTCGTCGTGGATCACCGGCGCGCTGACGAGCTTCCGGCATTTTCTCGAGCCCTCGGCCTTGTTCAGGCGGCCGAGCTCCTTGATCTCGTCCAGGGTCAGATCGCACTGGATCTTGATGTATCCTGCGAGCAGCTGGACCGGCCATCTTGCCTCGATGAAGTCCCTCAGAAACCAAAACGCTTCCGCGGCGTCACTCCGTCGCTGCTCGGTCTCGGGGCTTGTTTCCTCTTCCTGCTCCCCTTCTTCGGCCTCGTCCTTCTGGTAAATGGCGCCGTCCGCCTCGTAGGGGACTCGAAAGTAGTAGCCCAAGGCGGATCCCTCGCCGTCGTCATTGTTGTAGGGATCGGCCGTTTGCTGTTTTCGTGTCATGCTAATCGCCGCGTCGACGGGAACAGAAGACCCGTTGCCGGATCTCCGGGGGACGATGGACTGGTAAAGCTGCTGTTCAAGCGCCGCGAGGAAGGGCGCGGCTTTGCCGAGAGTGCTAGCAGACAGGACGCCCATGTTGTTTATATCGCCCGTCATCCTGCTTGATGACGAGCTCTTGGAGTTTGTGGGCATGGTAGGTTGACCGTTGGCTTTGTATAGCAGCGAAGGGGTCTTTCTCCGAAGCCGTTGGTCGAGGCCGAAGGGTCCCTGGGAACCGTGACTGGGAACCAAACTCCAGCGGCTCTACCGGCTCGAACTTGGACCATGCTCAGTTTAAATTCAAAGCTGCGCCTCCATAGAGGCGAATCGCACACCATTTTTTTGATACTTTGCGGCTTGATAAGAGGCCAAGGTTCATGACGAATTTGGAAAGCCCCGCAAGCCACTCGAGCGTCTGGGCCGATGGGGACTAGAGTCTAAGCGTGCCAGGTCTCACTAAACCACATTGTTTTCGATCCGAAAGTCAAAAAAAAATGAACACTTAAAAGGGGTTGCACAATTACCAGCAGTGTAGATTATGCCAACATCGCCGCGAGTGGTACTTCGTTCAACGTTCAACGTTCAAGCGAGGGTTCGATGTAGACAGAGTACAGCGGAGGTGTATTAGTACGTGACAGAAAAGCCAATATAGTCCAATAAATGCCCCCGCCAATCGAGGAAATAACTAAACAATTAGACGGTACGTACCGCATCGATGGTCGGAACTCTCTTGGCTGAATCACTTGCTGACGACTTCAACCTCACTTCATCACCGCGCGTGACTGAGAAATCAGAATGCAAAGCCCCTGCTTTGCGATGGGCCGCCAAAGCTGGCGGTGTAGCATCATGATTGATCTAAGGCACACTGACTCAACGATTCAAGGCAAGATCCAACAAGGATCTCTGCCTGCTTTGACGGCCTTCCCGTAGACCAGTGTCTTCCACCGCTCTCATATGCAGACCAACAGCCATGAACAGACAGCTTACCGAGCTTGCATATTTGCGAAGAGATGTCGCCGCTGCCGGCAGATGGAATGGATCAAAAATTCATCTTTCCTCAGGAACAAAGGTCTGCTGAATTGCCATGTTGCGTTGCGAATATGTCCTCAACGCTGTCTTGAGACCATGCCGAGACAAAGAGGACTGGTCACCGTGTGCTTGCCTATTGCGTAACCAAGATCATGTACGTAAAGAGTTTCAGGGTAGGTACTTTTGTTCTTGGGCACGGAGGGATGTTTATGCGTTTTAAGCTGTTCATTGGGGCATAAACAAGTTCAGCATCCTTTTGGTCTCAATGTTCACGGGCATCATTTCGGTCATGAGTGTTGGATCGATTGGCAGGGCAGAAATTGGCAAGTCATACCACTAGGCTAGTTGGGCCACCATGGCCGATAATCCATTTCGCCTTCGTCAGGGAATGCTCATCCACTGAAGAGCATTCCTTAGATGTTGGCCAAGGCACAATGGAGCCAAGGATGGTGACATGCCTCCTCATCCACCGGATCCAGAATAGTTGGAAGATAATCTGTACGCCATTCTTCCTGGGCAGCATGACTGAAAAGTTTCGGATTGAGATTCACCCGTCTCGCCTTGCAGTATTCCCAGTACTCCGGAAGCCACCCCGCCTGGCGCCAATCAATGATAGCTGCCACTTTCGGATTCTTCCCCAACGACAAGGTGATGTTGGGTGCAAGCGCTTCGCCATCAATGTCAATACCGCAAGCATCTTGGAACTGCTTAACAGCGTTTGAGCCAACAAACGGCCCTCTAAGCTTTGGAGGCAGGAATATATTGTTCAGCGGTTGCCTGTCCAGGCCATCTGAAGCATAGGACCTTATGTCAGAATTACCTTATATTAGAAACTCTTGCAAAGAAGAAAATTCACCTGCCAACAAACCAATCGTGACTGTCTTTCTCTAAAGCTCGCAACGTCTGCAGCATTTCTTTGAGTTCTTCACAAATAACACGCCTCTCGTCTTTGTCAAGGTCACAGCATCTTTCTTGCATAGATGCGCCTTCTACTGGTTCAGGCCAGCAAACCAATCCAGCCCACAGCCAACACCAGAGTGAGTTGGCTCGAACCTGATTGGAGGAATCCACAGACCATCACACAAAGGTAACGAAAGAATTGTGAATCTGCCATGGCTTTACTTGATTTCTCAACATAACAATAGCGCTTTACAATAGAGAGCGTCTTGTGACTGCTTTGTTGTAGACAACTTAAGGGTTGTTTTGTCGCAACTAATAAACCTCTCTACCTACTACCCTGGGTACCATCACTAACAGGCTTTCTAGACCAAAAAAGGCAAAAAGACGACCGGGAAGAACTGCCAGTCAAGGGCTGTAAAGGCAGCCCAATTTCCTTGTTCAAGACGGTATATTTAATCTTGCGCTTGGCAATCACTAGCATGCTTTCAAACAACAACAGCCTTGACATGTCTAGCTTAATGTCACGAAGGTTTATACACCCAGTCAAGTACTCATTGGTCTGACTCTGGCCCAGGACAGTTGTCTTGGAGCGCCTCTAGATGCCCCCAATCCTCACCTTCGCACCTGCCTTCGGCTGAACTGACCTCAGGGGGCGCTTTCCCCTATTCAGTCTCCATCATCCGCTCTTTCCATCTTTCAACTTATTGCTCATCTCACTTAGTCGAATCTCACTCTCACCCTCACCTTGAATTCTTCTCTCACTCTCCTCTCTTTCACACACACACACAAATACACAAGAGCTTCTGAAATAATTGTCAACAAACTCGTCTTTTATCTCGACACTCTAGTTATCGTTAGTTTGAGTTATCATCCGGTATACGCTACAATCGATCCCTTTCCCTCCTGTTTTCATCAGGAAATATACAAGATGGAAGGAGTTGACTCCTTCCGCGTCATTTTCTTCGGCTCTGTCCTTGTGGCAGGGCTGATGGTCATCCTACAGATCGCAGGTTGGCTCTTCAGCCATCTTCCGAAGCTGTTGGCTGTCGTAAAGGCGGCCAGCAGTTTCGAGATCCCCGTCTATACCATCATATCTTTCCTCTTCATTTATATTCTCGTCTTTATTCCAATCATCCGATACTTCATCCCAAGACCGACGATTGCGACCGAAGCTGAGCAGCCTTCTCCCGCTCCAGAGCTCAGCGAAGAGGATCGAGCCACAGAAGCGCGCCGATGCGCACTACCCGGGCCAGTGTGCGAGTCGATGAGAACCCAACTCGAAAGCAAGACAAGGGAGGCAGCGAAGTTAGCCAGAGAGCTAGGAGAGGCAGAGCAGCGCGAGCTCGACGCAAACTATGCCGCAGAGGCGAACCGAAACTCTCACAAAATCATCCGACAACGATTGGCTCAAACCGAGGGGCAACTCGTTCAATACGGTCCAGAGGCGATGACCATCCGAAAACTCGAAATTCTGCTGGCAGAGTCCGAGAAGAAGGTTGCCGAGGCCGAGAAACGCGTCGAAAAGGGCGAGCATCTCCTAAAGGCCGAGGTCGAGCACTCGAAATGGGCCGCCGAGAAGAAGGAGAGACAGGCCAGCAAGATCCGGGAAGACATGGTCAGGCTCGTTCGGAGGGCAAAGGACAGGATCGGGGTTCTAAACGCGAAGGTCAGCTCTCTCGAGCGCGAGCTGGATGCAGCCAAACGAAAGGACATGTCGGCCGAAGTCGAAACTTTGCTTGCCCAAAAGGATGCGACAATTCAGTTCCTGACCGAGACGGGGCTCGCCCTCGAGAAAGACCGCGACGAGAAGATGAGTTACGCCGAGACGATGTACGCTTCGCTGCAGGCGGAGAACGAGAGCCTTCGGCGGCAGTTGAGTGACTTGGCGGAGCGAACTCGCAGCGACAACAATGCGGCCTGCACTCTGAGAGACAACCTTAACAACGCCAAAGTCCAAGTTCAGACGACAGAGGCCATGTTCTTCGAAAAGGAGAAGAAGATTGACGAGCTCGAGAGCCAGCTCAAGAAGGTGATGGATGAGTCCAAGACGGCCGTGGCCCATGCCAATAACCAAGTCGGCAAACTGAGAGCCAAGCTCTCAGCCTCGCAAGAGAAGATGGTGTCTGGAATAACAAAGGAGGACATCGAAGTGCTCAACCGCCAGTTGGACGAGCTCAGAAACCAAGTGGCAGACGCTCGCTCCACCCGCGACATCACGATGAGCGAAGCTTCGGCCATCCATGCTGAACAACAAAAGTGCATCGAGACCCTGCGCAAGGACACGGACGCCACCTGTATCGAAAACGCAAACATGCGACAGGAAATAACCAGACTCCAAGAGCTGCTCGACCAGCACGCTGTTTCGGGCGCCAAAAGCAGCAGCGCCATCGAGCAGCGTATCGCGGGTATGCAGAACCAACACCAAGCGGACATGAACGAGGCAAAGTCGATGCTCGACACGAAGGATGGTGAAATCAAGCATCTCCAAGACAGCCTGATAGGCATGAAGACACACATCGCTAGCCTCCAGGGAGAAGTGGACGAAATGCAGGGATGCGTGGATGAACAAGACGAGCACGTTGAAAAGCTGGAGAGGAAGCTGCGCACAGCGCTCATCAACGAGAAGAAGGCCATCGAGCGCTTCGCCAAACTAGAAGAGAAGAGGATCAAGGAAGCATCTGCGGATCTCCTCAAGTACAACCGACTCAAGGTCGAATACAACAAGGCCACGCAAGAGAGGGACAATCTACTCGCTGGCAACCAGACTGACGAGACCAAGAGACTCGGCGACTAGCTGGGTAAGTGAACGCAGCTGGCCGATAAGGGAAAAGGTACTGACTGTTTGTTCAGCAAAGGCACCGAATTTGACGGTGGCCCGCGACCTAGAAACCAGCGAATTGAAGGATCAAATCGAAACATTGACGAGAAAGACGGGGAACAAACGTGCCGGCGCCAACACGAGCACGGAAAGGCAGAACGACCCCAAGACGAATCGCAAGCAGACACAGACATAACCCCCTCCCCCCCCCGAGAGCAGATGAAAGCAGCAAAAAAAGGCATCGAACATCACCGACAAAGTCCGACTTGGCGGAGAGAATCAAGACGACGGCGCGAAGGACGAAGCCCGCTCCGGCGACAAGACGGAGTGATGACACCCCTGGAGGATGCATGAAACTTTCTACCCTGTTCAGTGCGAATGTCACTTTTTCTCTTGTTGTTCTCGTCATTACTACTATAGATTCTATGATACCCGTATGAATGGTTGCAGCCGGCGAGCCGAAACCCATGACAAGAGTCCGCCAGGGTCTCCAAAGGGTGGCGATCGGAAGCGCCGGTATACGGAGGTACGGAAAAAGGGGACACACGGGGCTTATGAGGCGGAGAAGATGATGGTAGTAATTGAGAAGAAAGATTTTTTGGAAAAAAAAAAGGGAAAAAAAAAGGAGGCTTTTCCCAGTCCATTGATATTGTGCTTTTCGGGCATGCATACTATGCGTGCGATGTGGTATATATGTGTGTACAATGACGACCCCTCCATATACAACAACATGACCGACCGACCGACCGACCCATCCCCTACAAGTCGTCCATGTCCAGGCCGTCGACCTTGCCGAGGAAGTCGCCGGCGCCGCCGCGCAGCAGCTCGTCGACGTCGAGGGTGCCGGCGGTGATGTACTTCTCGCTGACGCCGGCGTTGACGCGCCTGGAGAGCAGGTCGCGCAGCTGGGCGCGCATGGCGGCCATCTCGGCCTTTGACATGTTCTTGTCCTCCTGCTGCTTCTTCTTGCGCTGGCTGCCGCGGCCGGTCCAGCTGCCGGCCCTGTCGAGCTCGTCGCTGTCGTACTCGACGCCGAGCTCGTCGGCGGCGGCGCGGACCCAGTCCTCGTCCTTGGTGCCCTTCTCCTTGGCGAGGGTGGCGTCGGTGAGCTTCTTGGCGAGGTCGACGCGCGGCTTGAGGCGGGAGGCGATGCGTCGGTCGATGTCGATGGTGCGCATGAGGTACTTCTTCTTGCCGGCCGCCTGGTCCTGCTGCTGCCCGGCGTGGACCTTGGCGGCGAGGCGGCGGGTGGGGACGACCTCGTCGGGCCCGCAGAGGATGATGCTGAGGCCGGTGCGCTCGGCGCGGGCGGTGCGGCCGGAGCGGTGGACGTACATGTCGGCGGCGCGGGGCACGTGGTAGTGGACGACCTGGTCGATGCCGGGGATGTCGAGGCCGCGGGCGGCGACGTCGGTGGCGATGAGCACGGCGGTGGTGTTGGGCTTGGAGGCCGTGAAGCGCTCGACGGAGCGCAGGCGGGCCTTTTGCGCCATCTGCGAGTGCAGCGCCGTCGCGTTGATGTTGAGGTTCTGCAGGAAGGGGGCGAGCCGGCGGACGGCGCTGATGGAGTTTGTGAAGACGAGGGTCCGGCGGTTGGGGTTGAGCAGGAGGACGGTGTAGAGGTAGAGGTCCTTTTGGGCGTGTTAGTAAGAAAAGAAGGGGGGAAATAAGAAAACAAAGGGGGCGGGGGGGGGTAAATAAATACCTTTTCCATGGCGCCGCACTCGATAAGGCCCTCTTTCAGACCGGCGGCCATCTGCTTGGCCGGATTCACGTCGATGAACTTTGGCTTCTCCTCGCGGAAGTTGAGCTTCTTGAGCAGATACTCCATCGACTCCTTCTCCGACATGAGACCCCATTTGCCCTTGCCCGCCAGCTTCTGCTGCAGCCCCTGGTGGAACGTCGCCGAGAAGACGAGCGTCTGCCGGGCCGAGAGGCCCTTCTCGTTGTCGTCGTCTTCGTCTTCGTCGTCTCCGTCCTCATTAGTCACCTCGCGGTCGAGGGCGTCGAGGATCTCGCCGGCCTCTTTGAAGTGTCCCTCGCTCAGCAGCCGGTCGGCCTCGTCGACGACCAGGTATCTGATCTTCTTGAACCCGGCGAGCAGCTCCCGGCTGCCGCTGATGACCTCCCACAGACGGCCCGGCGTGGCGATGACGATGTCGGCCTTGGCCAGCTGTCTCTGCTGCTTGAAGACGGACAAGCCGCCCGTCACCGAGCAGACGAAGGGGGCGTTGAGCAGGCCGGCGCAGAGGTTCTTGATGTGGTTGGTGATTTG